AGATAAACTAAGACCTTATTGGACAAAATAATCTTATTTGGTGCATTTTGAGAAATGTCTTGTAGTACGTTAATTTGTGTTGATCTAAGACAGGGGTCTCCAAACTATGGCCCGCGGGCCACATCCGGCCCGCCACATAATTTCATCCGGCCCTCCAAACAAATCCCTGTGTGGTGGCCTTAAAAAATAATTATCGTACGAATGGCATCGCAGAATTATTCAAAGCTGGGGCTGCTGACTGGTGGCGCTCAACCCGAGTCAGTTTTCCTCTCTCTCGATAGTGTGACGCACAGATACTAATACTGGTAGGTATGTGTTGTGCATTACAAGCAATCAGTTGTGTATAACTGTATATTGTGGGGATGGAGGGCGAGTGGGGCTTCGCTGCTTCCGTTTCAGGGAGCACAAACACTGTACAATATTCTTTTCTCTGTACTTTGACAATGCCTTTATCTTAGTTATACAAAATAGCAATTTCATTTTTTATTCCTCCGGCCCGCATAAATATGGGAAATATATAATGTGGCCCTTACATTGAAAAGTTTGGAGACCCCTGATCTAAGATCATGTGTAACAGTATGGCAGAACATAGTAGATTTAATACAGGAAAAAAAAAAGCATTGGCTGTCTGCATTCTGTAGAGGATATGATAGAAGTATCCTCAGCCAGCAAGGTATGCAGTTATGTCTTACCTTCACATTCTACCTCGGTTTCACCTAAATTGCACAAATTACATCATATATTCATATACTGTTGGTGGTTGCACCCTGTAGCCTTGGTCTGACTATATCATTTACTGTAAATTCAGTAGTATCCATAAAACTTGTGATGATAATTAGAAAAAAAAATGTCCTTATTTTAGTGACCATTGATTAAACAACAAAAAACATTGAATATATCTTCCTTACTCACCATCACAAGGGGTTAAATATTTAGTTTATGCTAATTACGTTGCAGTATGAGATGCTCATAAAACAGTGGACAGATATTACTGTACCTAAATACTATATGTAAAATACTTGATTTTTTTTGTTTAGGGAATAAAGTAGTTTCGAACATTGGTAATCATCTAAAGGCAAGACATTCCTGTATCTGCCCTTCCCCCTTCCCTTAACATTGTTAGGGGGGGTCCCTTGTTCATCACCCTCAGTTGGGTCCTTCAGTTGGGTGTAGATATCTTCTGCCCCATCTCTTTCCGTCGTCGTCTTTTTTTTTTTTTTAATGGCGATTTTAACTGTTGGCATGCCCTCGGGTGATGCTCTGACACATACCTACCCCACGGCTGTCTGCTGCAATCTTTCAACCTCTTCGTTATTTCTTCTGATTTCTGGCAAGCTGACTCTTGCACTCACCCTTTCCTGTATTGATCTTTTTCTATGATCATCTTACATATATTTAGATCCTATCATGGAGGGTTCTTGATAACCTCCATAAGTGACCAATTTCCCCATCCTCTTTCTGCCCTCCTTTCTCGTTCCCTCGGTGGCAATTTGATGATCGACTGGAATCTTTTCCTCTGCGCTTCTCTTTCCACCTTATCTAATCTGCCTCTTTCTCAAGACCTATTTTGCAACACCCTCTTGGATGCTACCATATTTTTTATTTATTCCATGCTATGCCTTCCATGACACACAAGTGCATTCACTGGTGCTCTAGCTGTACACCATGAGCATGGAGGCTGGAAAAACACCAGTACTGACAGGCTCCTCATTCTTTTCTTTTAGTTCTGAAGGTGATTGCGGTGGCCTGTAGGGCCATCTGTACTACTAAATGGGAGTCTTGGCGATGTTATATCTCCTCCATTACGGTTGTTGAATAAGACTTTATTTTTTATCCTTTTTAACAAAGAAAGAAAGAAAGAAAGGGCATTAAGCAAAGAAATGCTGAAGAAAAATGGTTGGAATCTGAAATCAGGTTTAGAGAACAATGAAGCATGGCCCATAAGAGGCTTGATGACATAAGTAGGTTAGGGAGAATTTGGAGACTATAGATAAAGGACTTGGAGTAGAGTGGGCTTCGCCTTATGCGTTTTTGTTCTCGTATTGGCATCCTTGGTGATATTTAGTGCCCTCTGATTATTTTGCGCATTTGATGGTGCTACATAGCCTTCCCGGTTTGGTGCCTTCTTTTGATAATTGAACAGTCTCCGTGGTGTAGTGGTAAGACACTCGCCTGGCGTTCCGCGAGCGCTTTGTCATGGGTTCGTATCCTGGCCAGGGAGGATTTACTGGGCGCAATTCCTTAACTGTAGCCTCTGTTTAACGCAACAGTAAAATGTGTACTTGGATGAAAAAACGATTCTTCGCGGCAGGGGATCGTATTCCAGGAACCTGCCAGAAACGCTACGTGTACTAGTGGCTGTACAAGAATGTAACAACTCTTGTATATATCTCAAAAAAAAAAAAAAAAAAAAAAAAAAAAAAAATTACTTACTTACTTGGGCCGTCCATGCGAGGAAACATTGATGGGTTATGGAGAACATTGGTAGATTGTAAGAGGATGGCACCAGACCCTTGGGTGAGTGTGTGGGAACAGCAAGGTTGCAGATCAAAGCCATTCCTTTAGGTGCAGAGGCATCAGTTTCACATTTCTGACCAATTGATTGTGGGGGATGGGGGGTACAGCATAATATCCTCCCCGATTCGATATTGGCTATAGTCTCAGCACTTGTCCCATCTCCCGTAAAGGTATTCCTTATTCTGACTTGTACCCAGTTATTTATTCCTCCATCCTTGCCCGTTGGCAGGGTTGTTGGTCTTCTGTTACTGGTAACAAACTACATAATCTTAAGAGTAGTGTCCCTGTCAGGTGGGCGCCTGACAACTGGGTGGACAGCACTTCAGATTCGTAGTCCTGAGGTTCCGAGTCAGAGTTCGACCCGGTCCCCGTAGTCCGAGGACCAGGTCGTGGGGACGCTAAGCCCCGAAATCATCTCAAGATAACCCCCCTTGTGGCCTTCCTCCTACCACAGTAACTGGCGATGGGAAGCGGCTCTGGCAAGGTTGTGTATTGGTCATATGTGCTTAACTCACGGACACTTAATGGAGCACCACCATGCTGCTTATTGTCCTAATTGCATTGTCCCTCTTAGTTGTGCATATCCTTGTTGAATGTCCTGACTTCCAGGATGAGCGTGTGTCTTGCTATCCGACCATCCCTCGCCCCTCGATAGAATTCTTGGTGAATCGGATACTTTTGATATAGTTCACCTTATGCGTTTGTTATCATATTGGCATCCTCTGTGATATTTAGTGCCCTCTGATTATTCCGCACATTTGATGGTGCTACATAGCCTTCCCGGCTTGGTGCGTTCTTTGATAATTACTTACTCAGCCAGTGACAGATGTCAAGGCTGGGAAAGGGCTCGTGCGTTAAGATTGCAGTCTCGTGTAGTACGTTTCCCAGCCTCAAGTCATTTTCCTACCTTATTGTATATACTAGTTGGTCCAGAGAACATTTTGTTACAGGAAAGTTGTAGTATCACTTGAGAAATTCAAATTTTAAGTTTTATGCTGGTGTAGTCTAGTGACATTTTCCAAGATGGCAGTTGCAAAGATTTTGCTACCTAGAGGGACAGAGGCAAGGATGCTGGAACCTGGATAATGATTCATTGTGTTGGGGATAGGCAGCCAGTTTATACATACAGTACAGTACATTTTAGGCTTATATCAAGGTACTCCTCAAGGGTCTAATTACTGACCCCCCTGTCGCCCTCCCCAGGATACAACCACCACAAGCTAGCTAACTTCTGGGTACCTATTTATTGCTAGGTGGACTGGGGCATTAGGTGATAGGAAACATGCCCAACCACTTCTGCTCTGCCCAGTCGAGAATGAGCCCAACTGTACTTCCAGGATAAGAAAGAGGGAAGATGATTGGTTGAATTTGCTTGAAGTAACCAATGAACAGGAAGCTCAAAGTTACATCACCAGTGAGAGCATGCTTGCTGGCTCTCATTGGAGCAGGTGATGACATTGTACCCTGAGATTTGATGGCAGGTGGAGAGACAGGCTCAGTTCCAGGAATTTGCTAGAAACAGTATATTGTGAGGCAGGACAAAAATTTGTGGAGTACTACTGGTCTTGTATCATCACAAGGAGCAGCCTAATAAACCTCAGACTATTTCAATGTTTTCTCTGAGAAATTGAAAGTTGAAGCTCGGCAGCGAGAACTGTTGGTCTGGGGCCAAGGAATGATGTCAGATGCCCAGCTGAACAGACTCCATCATGCCCCAGACACTGGGAGAACACACTAAATGTGGGCAGAGTTGAGGACATGAATTTAGAGAACCTATACTCTGGGTGTTCCCAGGCGCGCTCTAGTCAACTGCACCACGACACGGCCAGGAGACATCTTTTGACCATGTCGTGCAGCCGACTAGAGCGCACCTGAGAACTCCCAGTGCATAGGTTCGAACCCTCATCAAGGCTTCTGTTGGATTTGTTCAATAATAATAGTAATAATTCTTGTTAACAAAAATGTGTGTATAAAGAACACAAAAGAAAGGGACAATTGTAGCTGTAGATGACAACTGACTGGACAATTGTAACGATCACGTCAGCAGGTAGTATTGCAAATTCCTAAAGTTAGCCAAGCAGAAATAAAAAGTTTTTTTTATTTTACTGGATGATCCATAGATGTAAGGCTCTTGCATAATAGTGTAATGACAGAATAGTGTAGATTTCACTTTGCCCAAGGTGGGGGAAAAAAAAAATCACTGACAGGACAAAACTCCATGGCCAAGCTCCAATAATTAAGTTCTATTTAGTTCAGTCACAGATTTGAACTTGAATGCTTTGTCAAATTTTACATTCCAAGGAAAATTTCCAGACTAGTATGAAAAGGACTTTTCATGTCACGGACTGACATGAAAAGTCAATTATGATCAAATCTTGACAGGTAAACATTTCAACCCAAGTTATATTTTGTTAGAAATATACTTTCCACTATATTATGTCAACACAGGTATTTACTAATTTCTACCTTATGCAAAATTCATGTTTGAGGTACAAATAAATTTTTATTTATTTTTAATTTTGAAAACAATTTGTAACCTTGTGTGCAAATTTAATGATATGTACAATGTTATGTAAAAAAAAACTGCTACTCTACATTTGTTTCCAGTTCCTTATCAAGAGCTTTCTCCTCTGGCATATGCCAGGGTAACACTGGGGAAGTCCAGGCCCATCTTTGAACATCCACTTCATTGATAGTAGAGGATTCTTTAGGACAAACACCACCTTCTGTCACAGCAGACAAGAAAGCTCGAATCTGCAATAAGATGTTAAACAAAGTTTAATGATATGTTTCAATCACAGTCAGTCGCAGGAAGTACTGATCATTATGCCGGATATACCTCAATACAAACACAATAACAATACTGTATAACAAATATTCTTAAAACAAAAATACTACTTGCCCTTCATATTGCCTATGGATAGGTGTGGATAGAGCAAGGATTGATAAAATGAGTTCAATATCGGAAGAGGCCTAACCTACAGACATATCAGCAATACAAGCAAGCAAGAAACAATTACATAGTGGTGAGGAGAGAGGCAGAAAGGAACTTTGAGAAAGGTATAGTGGACAAATGTAAAACAGATCCAGGTCTTTTCTATAAATTCATTAAAAACAAGCTGCATGTAAATGATAAAATCCAGAGATTGAGAATAGGGAACACAACTACTGAGAATGAAAAAGAAATGTGTGAAATGATAAATGAACAGTTCCAAAGTGTGTTTGTACAAAATGAGGATTTCAGAGACGAACCAAGTACCAATTCCAAAGGATGCCATAGAATCTCAAGATATCTCGAGGTATCCCAAGACGAAGTGAAAAAAATTACTCATGGGGCTAGGAAGAAATAAAGCAGTTCGACCTGATGGTGTTTCACCTCGGGTGCTGCAAGAATGTGCAAATGAGCTGAGCATTCCACTCCAATTAATATTCCAGACATCCTTGTGCACATGAATCTTAGGGAATATACATATGGAAAAAGGCAAACATCGTACCAATCTATAAAATTGGTAGTTGAGAGGAACCTCTAAATTATAGACCCGTATCATTAACAAGCGTGTAGTTAAAACACTAGAAAAAATACTTAAAAGCCAAATGGGTTGAATACCTAGAGCGTAATGACATAATAACGGACACACACACTATGGTTTTCAAACAGGAAGATCCTGTGTAGCATATCTAATTAGTTTTTATGATAGAGCCACAGAGATACAACAGGAAAGAGGTGGCTGGATTGACTGTCTATCTAGACCTAAAAAAAAAAAAGGCTTTTGATAGAGTCCCACACAAGAGGCTGTTCTGGAAACTGGAACATGCTGGAGGGGGTGACAGAGAGACTTCTGACATATAAAATTTTTTCTAACTGATAGACAGATGAGGGCAGTGATCAGAGACAATGTTTCTGACTGGAGAAGTGTTACTAGCACAGTACCACTAGGGTTCAGTTCTAGCACCAGTAATGTAAGGAAAACAAAGGTGCCGAAAAGGATTGACTAGGCGCCAATCCTTAACTGTATGCCTCTGTTCACCCAGCAATAAATGGGTACCTAGTTGTTAAACAATTTGGCGGGTTGTATTCCAGGGAAAATTAAGATGAAGGACCTGCCTGAAATGCTATGTTAGTGACTTTACAAGAATGTAAGAACTCGTGTATGTATGTATGTACAGTATTGTATATGAATATGTATATATAAATAAAATATAAAAGTGAGGTGGTGGAGGCCAAAACTGTCAGTAGTTTCAAAGCATTGTATAACAAAAAGTACAGAGAAGACAGGACACCACATGCATAGCTCTCAACCTTTAACTATACTTAGGTAATTACAGTCAATAAGCATGGGAGTTAATCAGGGAAAGGAAAAGGACCTGGAGGTGTGTTTCATGCTGCCACCTGGATGCAGTTACCATAGGAATTCAAGAAATCCAACTGATAATTATTGAGGGCATTTTCTTGGTGGTCACGCTTGTGATGTCAAGAGAAGATTTGTAAGGGAATAAAGTTTATGAATGACCAACTGGCAGTCATTTTCAGTTGAATACACCTGATGGACACTTAAAAGGCACCTTGAAAAAATCTTTGTAGTGCAGGTGCAAGTCTGTCTGACTGTGTATGGTTCTGTCCAATGGACACAGCCAGATCTTACCTTAGGCAGCTGCAGAATTAAATAGCTCAGAAATATATCAAATCATCTCACCTTCTCAGACGAGTCTTTAAATTGCTCAAGTTCAGTGTAGACTTCGGTAATCCCAGATTCTAAACACCTTTGAGCCAAAATACGTCCAATGTTTTCTGCAGCATTAACATCTGCAGTGGAGTACAGCTGCTGTTTGATGGACCACTCTCGAGTTGAGGCAGAGACAACAATGGTGCCTGTGTAGTGAACAACTTGACCCGTAGTGTGTCGATTGCTTTGCTCCAGATTCAATCTAAGTAAAATCATATTTAGTAAAAAAAAAAAAAAAAATTAGTTCTAAGGCTTATCTAATTGCTGTGTGCAATTATAAGCTTTGTAGTATAAAATACAACAACAGCCTTGAATGCAATGAAACTTCAATTTCTGGAAACCCAAAGTGACTCCCTAAAGTTATCTCACTGAATGGCTCCCAACTACTAGATCGCATCAGCTGTGTAGTTCTGTTTGTCCTACCAGGGACCAGACCCAGAACCTGGCCCTTTCACAGATGTGTAGGGAGCAGGTGACACTGCCACCCCACAGGAAAAAGCAACCAGAAAAAGTCAGCAAACTAATACAGACCACTGCTAGGTTCAAAGAGACCAAAGCCTAAAACATGCCAAAACAAACTCCCCAAGTCCTGTAAACACATGGTTGAATCTCTGGAAACAAGTGTGCACTCGTTCTCCCCACCCATTCCACTCATTTGGGGTAAGGTGGGATCAGAGCTCAGCACACCAAGGCAACAGCTCATCAGGCAGAAGGTTTAGTAACTACAGCATATTAAAATTAATATAATTGCTCTAAAATCTCAGAAGTATCAGTGCAGGCAGTTAGATGTGCTTGTACAGTCTGCATCAGCGAGAAAACTGGCCCAGTGGGCACGAGAAGCTCTGATCACCCCCACCCCCAACTAGTAGGGTGGTAGTGCTATTGGGTTTGCACTCTTTTTCGAGAAATATGATAAATTGTTTGCATTCTTGGGGGAGTTTGTTTTGGTGGGTTTTGAGGTATTTGGTCTCTTTGAACCCAGCAGTGGTCTGTTTTGGTTCAGACTTTCTGGGTGCTTTCTCTGTGAAGTGGCAGTGTGTTACCTGCTCTCTGAGCTTCTGTGAGGCTAGGTTTTGGCTTTGGTCAATGGTAGGATTCAATGCTGAAATGACCTGGTAGTTGGGATCCATCTCCAAGAGACAGACAGCTTTTGGGAGCCACAAGAGGCTCCCCACAGGAAATAAAAAAGCTCTGTAATATATGATACGTATGGGAACACAAAATAAACTCTACAGGGATATCTAATTTTCAAGAAAGTATAGACTGATCATTACACAATAGATAACATATATATTAAGAGTTAATGTCAATAAAATGTGGTTCTAGAAATGTCAAAATTTATTAAACTATTGTACAGTATAGCAAAAATTAACATGACAACTAATTTGTTTAAAACACATTAACAAAATAATTTTACATACTTATACCAGTATTTTGGAGATGAAGCTTCAAGTTCCCAGCCTTGAGGCTTGTGAGCAAGTCGAAGCATTTCCATATTTCTTGGATTACGGTTGACAAAATTACTTTCAACATTCTCATTTTCTCCAAGTGCCCCAAGGTGTGTACTTAGGAAGACTGTCAGCCCCTTATATGAACCTGAAAATATTGGTAATACAATACAGTATTTCTAATAGCCCAACATTTATATAATAGGCTATAGTAACTTTAGTTTAACCCTTAAGTTGTAATGTACACATATAAACATAGTGCAGTAGGAATTTCAACCATAGAAAAGACCTAAAATATCTCACTTGGAAGCAAATCATCAAACCATATTCACCTTCTGATGGACAATGTCGGCATAAATAGTAAAAGTGAAAAGATAAGTTCCTTTGCCTATATACAATTCCAGTACAAGTACTCACATACAACACATCCAAAAAAAAACTATAAAACTGTTGATATTCTCTCAACAATATCAGAACTATAACAAACTCTATCTTCAGACATCACTCAGCTCCTTTGTTTAAATCTGTGAAAATGCTAAACACACATTCACTCCACAAATTCTCTTGCTCTGCTTACACTTACAAAACCTTATTCCTTGATTCTAATCCTGATCTGAAACTCTTCCTCGATAAAATGTAACAGAACCCAAGAGCACCACACCAGAAATAAATATCTCTTTGATATCCCCAGTCAGACTAAATCTGTGCAAACACTCCATGCAAATACGGTAAAAGGTCCCAGAACTCGCTCCCTAATGAATTAAAACAATTGTCCAACTTATGCCTTATTCAAAATATAAAACAAAAAAGTACCTACTTTGATTGTTTCCAATTCTCATTAAATTTCTCATTGTGCTACCCAGTCACCCAATTTAGGACTTAAGACATTCAACTTCATCAATATAATCTATCAATATGTAATGTAGTTAATTATGTTGAACTCAAAATTTGTTACCTTTATTGTTTAGCTTAACCCTTAAGGACCTGCCCGAAATGCTTAGCATGTTAGTGACTTTGCAAGAATGTTACTCAAATGCCAATGTCTCTACTCTCTCAACCCAATGTAATGTACCTTCTTGTATATAAATAAACAAATTAAATTGAAATTGAAATTGAAATAAGTTTATTGAGGTAAAATACACACAAAGGGATGAGGTAGCTCAAGCTATTCTCACCCCGTTCAGTACATCGTGTTAATACATACATAGACACACATCACAAGCAATAAACGTATTACCGAACATTCTGAGAGATAAACATATAAATTGCCTACAAATTAAATTAAATTAAATAAATCATACATGTCCGTAACCCAGCCTTTACCTAATATCCGAGGCAGCCGAGGGAATAAAGGTCGCAAGGAATTCATAATATTCCCTTACACTACGAAAGTTGAATATACAATGTGCCCCGCACTATACACCGAGTTACCGGCGTTATTTGCCGTGATTTAAGGGTTAATTCCGAGGTCAATTAGCTTGAGAGACAGAGGCAGCCTCACCGGGAGCAACAACACTGAAGCATGAACCATGGATGCTAGAGTTAGGTTGCTGGAAGTCGCGAGCTGAAGAACTAAAAAGTCACAATTTTTACTATAAACCTAGCCAAATATTTGGTGTACCGATAGATTCCCTTTTTTTGGAGGACACAGGGCAGCTTATTTTAATAATAGCCGCAAAAAAATAGTAAGTAGTTGAGTTTAGTTCATTTATTATGCACCCCATACCCATCTTGTGGGCGGTAGTGGAAAGGGTTACAGAGGCACATAATGGGCTCAGGGACTGAACCCCACAGTTCATTTAGGTAAGCAAGTTATAATCTAAATAGTAAGTAGCGACATACATAGCTGGCTTTTTCTTTTAGGCAACTTTGAGCTACAAGTAGCCCAATCTGGCACCCTAGCACCCAGAGAGGCGGCTGCTGCTCGAGGCGCCGCTCACGTTTTCTGTCATCATCTATCACTCCATCCACTCACTATTTCTTAATAATATCATTTATATTAAATAATATAGTTGAATGCAATTTTTTTATACTTTTTTTGTTATGAAGAGAAGCTGAGGGACATATGTTCTAAGCACACAGTTAATGCGGCTGTAGTGCCATGGACTAGGAGCTGTGTAGGCCAAAAATTACTCACAGTGTGTTGTCTCCTCCGGCGAGGGGAACTGTACGCCGGCTTCAACTCCTATAAACACGGGCCAGTATATATTTTTTTGTTGTTCTTTGTCATTTAGGGCAAGTTTGTGTACCCTATACTCATCGTGAGGGCAATAGTTTATCCTGTACTCCATACTCTTTCTGTGAGTAGTTGTTGATTATGTAATCCATACTCATCCTGTGAGTAGTAGTTGATTATAGTTACCTGACAGCCACTAATACTAGTGGCCTCGACAAGGACAGCAAGCCGGCGACTTGTCGAAGGTCCCCCCATTTGCCCTGATAATCTTTTCAAGCTGTACTTTAAAAGCCAATACTATTTTGGCATTAACGTCTTTGGCGGTTAACCCTGTGTGGCGGGTGGGGGGGAGCATTTGCTCTCAGTTCTACATTGTGGCTCGTTCAGCTTGAAATCATTGAACAAATCCACAAGGGCTGCGATGAGGGTTCGAACCTACGGCCGAGAGGATCCCAGACGCGCCTTAATCGACTGTGCCTGTAATCGACATGGTTAAAAGAATTGCAGCTGGGAGTTCTACTGACCTCACATGTATCCTACAGCCTCTCTGAGAGACAAACCAGGATTTTACACAATTGCCAATGCACCCGGGGCTCTGTCAACAAGCTATTCTACCTCTTCGTCCTTACTTTATTACACATTTGGTTTGGATTTGGTGTGGATATGTTCATTTGATGCATCATGCTATTATGATTTCTTTGTGTCTTGAAACCATAACTACTTGTTTGTGTTACATCTGACCTTTTTAAGAAATTTTCCGGATCAACATCCTCCAATTTGTTCAGTATTTTAAACGTTTCAATAAGATAGGCCCTGTCATGCCTGGTTTATAGCATTGTTAGCCCTGTGGCCCTCAACTGCCCGAAACGCTACGCGTACTAGTGGCTGTACAAGAATGTAACAACTCTTGTATATATCTAAAATAAAAAATAAATAAATAAATAAAATAAAAATATTATGTGGGTTGACTTATCTCTGGAATGATTTTTGTTGCCTGGTGTTACACTTTCTCCAGAGCATTTATATCCTTCTGAAGATGAGGTCTCCATGCTTGGATACAGTAATCCAAATGGGCACACCAGAGATTTATACAATTGAATCACTAACTTCTTTTCCTTGAAATCAAAGGTACACTTGATTATTCCAAGTGTTTGGTTAGCTTTTTAACAACTGTTCCTAACTGCTGTGCAACTTTCATTGAGTGGTGGATTTTGACTCCAAAGTCATTTTCCTCATCTGCTGCAATGTTATTAATGTAATTTTATTAATTTGGTAGTTGTGATTGCAGGTTATTATGCCCCACATGCAGGGTCTTGCATTTGTCTATATTAAAAAGCATTTGCCAGTCATCTGACTATTTGTGGAATTCCTGCAGATTTCTGTAAGAGTGAACAGTATAGTATATGTCCGAAACGCTTTGCGTAATAGTGGCTTTAGGCATTGTATGTACTAGCTCTACCTATAAGTCAACCAATCTTTGTAAAAATTTCTTGTATGTATGTACCTTACCTAAATAAACATTTTATTTTTTTATTTTTTTTTAACAGTAGTTCATTATACAACCTATACATCCTTTGATCAGTAATACAGTAATTAAAAAAATAATCCATAGTGTCAGGTGACAGGCAGACAGTTTATACATACAGTACATGTTAGGCTTACATCGAGGTCCCCCCAAGGGTCAAATTACTGTCCATCCGCAGGATGCAACCCCAAAACAAGCTGACTAACTTCTAGGTACCTATTTATTGCTAAGTGAACAGGGGGCATTAGGTGTTAGAAAACGCACCCAACCATTTCTGTTTCGTCTGGGATTCGAACCCGGAATTCTTGATTATGAGTCAAGAACGAACCCGATTGCACTACCGGGACCCCAGTAGTTTATTGTGCATATCATATTCATCCTGTTAGCCGTAATTTATTGTTCAACCCATACTCGTCCTGTGAGCAATTTTTTTGTACCTTGATCTGATAAAACCCTGGCATACATCTCATTTACTTTCTTGCTTAACACCCGAGCCAATCAAGCGTGGGTGTTAACTCGGGTGCCAATCAAGCTCAACCAAATTAATTAAAAGACTGGCAACGTTCCCCCTTATTATATTGTCTTCAGTTATAGTCTTCTCCCGAAATAAAGTTTTTTCAATGGCTTCATTTCGATGGCTCAAGACTCTTCTAGTTGTGTGTGTGTAATATGTTTATATTGTGCACTATGTGCTTTGGCAACTTATGCTAAAAATCTCAGTAAAATACGGTAGTTAATTTTTTCCTACAGTGTGAATGTTGGCGTTTCATAAGCGATGTGTTCGTCTCATGGGAACAGCCTTCTACTTTGGTTCAATAAAACAAGCTTCAAGGAACTCAACTGAACAACAATTTGCAACTTTAAAGTGTTACCATTTGCAAGGTCAGTAAATAATACAGTACGTACTGTGGACTGCTGCTTGAGCAGATGGGTTCATAATTAACCCCTTCCCCCCCCACTCCCTCATAGCAAAAACCCAATGTTGAATGTAATGAAACACCTGTTTGGTGGGTCTCTTGATAGCTTGTTGTAAGGTATAGGGTATATGCCTTGAGCTCCTGAAACATAAAGAAGATACCTGTGTGAGTGTATTAAGTTGGGCATTCCACAAAGACTAAACATTGCTTCAAAACATTTGATTGGTTGTCATGTGAATGTTAGGGCATGGAATGCAGAGTATGTGTGAATACTCATCAACAACTGTTAGCATATAAGGATTATGGGTTGTTGATGGCAGAGGCCCCTTGAAATCACTGCTGAGCTGCGCCATGGGTTGAGTAGCTAAAATGAGCAGCCCTTTTGGGGAGTGGTAGAACTGGGGCTTCAACTCTCTGCAAACTTTACAAGATGCACATGTTATTTTTACATCTTCTGTTTAGTACAGGAGGTTTTCTGGTGAGGAAGGGGGGATCAGTTTTTCACAATACAGTACTGTACTTTTCTGCCATAACTGTTTTCAAGTTAAAATCTTTGCTAAGTTTAAGTAGTACTTTCAGAAATTCATAAAGGGACTAACTAGGCTGCTGCTGCTGTGTAGCTAAGACATGTCTAGCAAATGTCTCATTGGAAATTTTCACATACTGTAGATATGGCATTTTCTAAGGTCATCCATTCCTCAATAAATTCATACACAATATGTGATATTGTACAATATTCACTAGAGTTCTAAGTTTGTCAGGGGTATTTTCTCCACACACACTGCAACGAAGATTTCAAACATGTTATGCCGGTGCTTCCACTCCTTGCTTGCTGTACGTGAGTTGTGATCAGTATCCAGATGAGTAGGCCTTAGGAGCTTGTCCATGGTAGGCTTGACAGCTTATTAACCCTTCAACGTTTTTGTGATGCTTACAGTCGTCATTTGCTCAAAACGCCAGAAAGCTATGATGACTGTAGTTGTCATTTCCAACATCATGTCGGCTAACTAACTTGCCTTTTTTGTTATTTTATTTTATTTTTATTGCATTTTTGAAAATACCATCATGAAGTACAACTCTTTAGCTTATAATAATAATAATAATTTTTATTTAGGCAAAGGTACATACATAAAGAAAAAAATAATATACATATACATAATTATATAATATAATAAAAATTTAATACATAAAGCTTAAAAATAATACAAATTTTTTTTCTTTACCATACATAGTTTCTTTGCATTAAGCATTGAAAGTAAAATATCACTAATTGAATTTGTGCTTGGCCTAAGGTGCCGGTAGTGCCCAAAATTGGTAAGGGGGCAAAATGTGAAAGGATTAAATTTAGCTGATCAGGATTGATTGAGACTTGAATACTACAACTCAGCTATACTATATTAGGCTCGGTACACTTCATACTATCTGAAATAATACAAAGCAATTGTATTAATATCTCAGTAGGGAATTACAAATTATCATAATGAACCTTACAACAAGAACAAATCATTACTCTAATGCAGTGTTTCTCAATGGGCTTCTGTGGGACCCCAAGGTAACAAGGGTTATGCAAAAAATAGTGATAAATAGGCTAATTCTAATACAGTAATTTGCAATTGTATTTTTGAGTAATTTTTTGTGTTTTTTCTCATCAAACAAATATCAAGAGCAAAGACAGGAAACATCTCTCTTCAGTTGGCAATGAAAGCTGTATTTGTTTATCTAAAGTACAATCCACAATTATTTCAAGGGTATGAAGGTTGAGAAATGAGTATGGTTGGCCTAATGAGTATGATGTTTAGAAATATCACAATATTGTATGTACTGTATATGATTCTTATATTTATAAAGTATTTCACTTGCAGGTGTCTGGAAGTCTCCACTTATTATAGTGACTAGAAATATGGCAACAGTTCGCCATTTGAATCAAGAAGAAGCAATTAATGTGGACCAAGAACTCTTTAATGAATATCAGTTCAGTGTTGACCAACTGATGGAATTGGCAGGCCTCAGTTGTGCTCATGCTATTGCTCAGGTCAGCCTTACATTCAACTTTATTTTTTTTTAAACTTAAGGTAACAAAAAGACAATTTTGATATTGACCTGTAAATGTATTATACAGAATTACAGCAATTAACGAGCATAATTTGATTTGTAATGGTAGTATGTTGTGCTGTCTCTTCCAGACTTACAATCCTGATTCAACAAAATCTGTCCTGGTGTGCTGTGGACCAGGGAACAATGGTGGCGATGGTCTGGTATGCTCTAGACATCTCAAGTTGTTGGGTTTTTCTCCAGTAATCCTCTACCCTAAACCAACTGATAAGCCATTGTTCAGAAGTTTGGTAAAACAGTGTCAGATGTATGGCTTGTCATTCATTGATGAGATGCCTGATCTAGAAACTCTAAATAGGTATGTCTCAAGTGCATTAAGTTATTCTTTCAAAACTTATTTAAACTTAGTTTTAATGAATGTAAATAATGACAAAATATTATTTTAAATTATTAGCTGTGTTAATTGTTTTTCTGTTGATTGAGGTACCCATTTTCTCTACCAAGACTAGTAACCGGTGTTGAACATAATGAAACCCCAACTTCTGAGTTGAGCCCCAGTGGCTTCCTGAAGCTACTATCACTGATAGTGTACCAACTACTTGATCGCATCGACTGCAATGTTCTATAACTGAGGACCAGTGCCAGAACCTGGCCCACTCTGAGGTGAAGCAAGTGATGGCATATATTTATGGCACTGGGGAAGCAACTAGAAAGTCAGTAAGACAAAACAGACCACTGCTAGCTTGAAAAAGAGACCTTGGCCTCATGAAATGCTGAAAGAATTCCCACAATTATGTAAACAAACAATTCAATTCTAGGAAATAGCGCAAGCTCATTCTCCCCACATCCCAAATGCATTTGGTGGGAGGAGGGAGGTAGCTCATGGTCAGGCAGCTGTACCACCTTCAGTTCTGTGGTAGATATAACCAACCCTTAGACAACCAGGAGGGAGATGGTTGTAGGGACCCACTGCGACTTGCCCTGAAATTGATGATTCATTACACTCAACACTGGTTTTCTGTGGAGTCCCTTGTGGCTCCGTGAAGCTAACTATTCATGGAGAACAACAACAAATGGGCACTTAACAGTGATTTGGGAGCACCATAGGAGTCTAGATGAGGGAGAGATACCTGGATGAAAGACACGGCCCAAAGCCGCACAAAGGTGCCAGGGCCTAGTCATACACTGTATTAACAAAATACTGGGCCACCAGAACCTGTTCGACCTCCAAAATCCCCGTGCTCAAATATCAGCCCAGGACAAATTTGTAAACACTGCCAAGAGAGTGGGCATACTTCCTAACATCATGGGTGCGAGGGTAGACTGCAGGCTGGCTAGACTTTATAACACGGTGGACAACCTGATAAATACAAGCCTTGGAATGGTGCAAAAGTGATAGGATAAACCAGGCATCCACCAAGTCAAAATTGGACGCATTAAGATAGTGGTGGGGAACCGTCACAGGAAACAATACATGGTGCAGCCCCAGACGAACCAACCAAGAATCAACAACCGGTGGTTACTTTCACCAACTGACGTCTGTAGGAGCTAGCTGCAAACAAACAAACTACCCACGAGGGCCAAGCGAACGAAACTCCCCTAACTCCAGAAGAGAGCTTAAAGAGCTTCCCCACCCTACAACCAGAAGCATGGGCAAGTATAAAGAAACACTGAGAGAACAAGTCTGGACCACAGTGGACACTGTAAAATGAGCTGAAGAAAGAAATGAAAGGACTGTATCAAGATACCACACAGGCAATTCAGGGTATTGCCTGTGTGGCAATAGTATGGAAAATATGGAAAGATTTTAGATAATGTGTATATACATAAATAATATTGTTTCATTTATTTTTGTTTGTAGATAAAATTGTTAGTTTAATATTATTATTTTGCCATTTCATTTGCAGAAAATATAATTTAGCAGTGGATGCTCTGTTTGGGTTTAGCTTCAAGCCTCCAGTACGACCTCTGTTTGCTCCCATCTTGAAGCTTCTCGCACAAGTAATGCCTTTTATTTGTTGAATGGGATCTAATATACAGTACTGTACAAATGCAATACAAAATATAAATGTGTTTACAAAAAAATTAACTTTACCTAATGAATGAGTAAAATTTACTCATTATGAAAGACTTTTTTTAATTTATTGTCTTTTTGTTAATATAATATTCATTTGTTAATATAAATATAGCTGTAAAATGCATTAGTCTTATAAAAGAATCCTTAGTAGTGTAATAAGTGTAGTAGTGTAATCTACAGGATATTGCTGTCACATTTTAAAATTACGATTAACATAACAAAGTTAACTGTACAAGATATTTCAAAATATATCTATAATCCCAACAGTATTTTCAGCTGTATAATAAAAAAAAATTAGGAAACCATTCTTTCCTTGTTATGTATTTTCAGTTTTGCACTTGAATTCTAATTGTCATTTAAAAATGTAACTATGTTTATTATAATTTACCTTTGCTATCATGCTGAAGAGTACATTAGTCAATATTCAAATTTTCAGTGTTCAGTGCCTGTGGTGAGCATTGATATTCCTTCAGGATGGCACGTAGAAGATGGACCTTCAACAAGTTCTGATGCCCTGACACCCGACATGCTCATCTCTCTTACTGCCCCAAAACAGTGTGCAAAACACTTTAATGGTTTGTGTTTCTTATGCTTATTGGAATCTCTTTAGATATTTATTGTTTTTCTGGGTGAACTCCCATTGGCTACCTGAAGCAATCACACTAAGATTGTTCCATTCATAATGGCTCACATGAATGAGTAACAATCCACCACCCCACTGGGAAAAGCATCCAGAAAATCTGTGATGCTTTACAGACAACTGCAAGATTTACAGAAAATTAAGCATCAAAACTGCCAAGCAACTTCTCAAATTATTCAAAGGAAACGAAAGGTCTCTCAAAACTAGTTTGAACTCGTTAGTAGTGATATCCACCAAAAAGGTAACCTGGCCCCAGCCCAGGGCCAGCTCCCTTGATCAGTTTTGTCACTGATGTTATGGTGGTAAGTGCTATCTGTAGTGCTCCGGTTCTGTCAGCTGCAGTGAGCCCCTCTGCTTTAACCCTTCACCTGGGCATATCATCCAGGGTTGTTTCATCAGTGGTGCACACAACATCGGTTAAATCTTATGCTAGACAGGTCAACCTAAATCTGGCTAGCATAAGATTTAAGACTACCGTGGGTCTCACATCCACTTCCTCAGGTCTCCAGTAAACAGACGCTAACTTGGAACAAAAATGTGGGCACCCATCCTGGGTGTGAGGATCTTGATACTAACACAGAAACCATAGGTATTGCTTGCAGCAGCAGCTCACAGCACTGTCATGCAGCTTGTGCCTCAAGGATCACTTAATGATAAAATATATAAGTATCTGCAATTATTTATCAATGATAGTACTTGATTGGCATCTTGTGTCAAATACTGTTGCCTCATATTGTTCAGTGCTGGCAGAGCCACTGCAGATTGCATTCAGTGTTGATACTACCTTGGCTCCATATCACAGGCTTTCTTGTGCTTGGTTTCACCTCCGGCCTGCTCATACACCATATGAGACTGCTTGGCCTTTGGGCTGTGTTCTCGCTTTTCTTTCCATGTTTTTTCATATTACAGCGTCCCCTTTGGTCTGATTCCTTCATTGAGGCATGGTATTTGGTTTCCCTTACACCCGGTTGTTGGGTCAGGGAGCGTCCTGTTCTCCTTTAGACACAGGGTTTCTGTTAGCCCTGGATGGCATTTTGCTCACTTGCAGTCAACTCCTTGTCTGGTGATGAACAAGTCAGTTGGCTTTTGGAGGGGTCCTTTGATTATTGATGCTTGGTTAGTTCAGCTGGAGGTACATTGTGCATTGTCTGATGGCGACTTTCTACCACTACCTTTGTGCAACTGATTCTGCTTTGATGGATGCTTTGTGGGTTGATCCAACTTTCTAGGTTCCCTATTCCTAGTCACACATTTCTCAGGTCGTCTGTGGTGTCATAAAGACTAGCCAGTTTGCAATCTACTCTACCATCATGCCCATGATGTTAGGAAGTATGCTACTCTTTTGCCTCTGTTTGCGAATATGTCCTGGGCCAGTATTTGTGATTGGGGGTTTTGGAGGTCTAACAGAGTTCTGGTGGCCCTGTACAGTATTTGGTGAATGTTTCCGGGCCTCAGCACCCTTGTGTGGCCATGATTTGTGTGTCATCCGAAGGTCTCTTCTTCATCTTGACTTCTGCAGTGCTCCCTCCTCCATGGTAAGCTCCCATGTGCTCTTCTTTCTCCATGGGTAATTAATTTCAGAGAGCCACTGGGGCTCACCCAGAAATTGGTGTTTCATTACATTGAACCCTGGTATTTTTATGCAAGAATATGGTGATACTATTTGAAACAGAATGCAAGTTTCTGGAGTAGTTTTAAACTGGTGATGCTGTTTTGTTGCCTGAATTGGAAGCATTCTAATAAACAGTTAGCTTTTGAGAATGTTTGAAAGAAAAAGTATATTTTAATAATTGTGTGCTTATAAGAGCACACATATCCTGCACATATAAGTGCAGGATACATAGTCAAGTAGGCCAAAACCTAAGAAGAGGTTCTTTGGAGGATTCTTCAAGGAATGGGAAGAAGTTAACTATGGTTGAAATTTAGACTTTAGTTTAGATTATGCGTATATGGTAAGCCCTTGATATGTGCATATTCATAAGGCACAGTTTTGAACTGTGCATTTCATGCTCTCATGACCCCCAATCATGTATACAGTATATTGAACAAACACTGTGACATGATATGACCCTGACCTATATCATTATCAGTCCACTCATTACACCATTATCTCTTACACATGCACTGCTACCTACATAGAGACTTTCACAGCATTTACCTGCACTTCCACCTCCATACATGCTCATCACTCACCAAAGTTCCTCACTTTTAACTTTGTCAAATTCTTTTTCCAAGTTCATATATATAACTTGGTCTTTCTCATATTTCCCCCCTTTTTATAAAGTGTCATAATGAAAATATTTGAGACACTTTTTTTCCAAAATACCCACTTTTCTGGGGGGAACCCCGTCGGCTCCCCGGAGCTATCCCAGGCTGATATGCTAATGTCAGACTTTGGCATCAGTCATGTGTATGGAGTTCTTAGGCCTACCGGGGACCACGGCCAGAACCGGGCCCCCTCAGAGAGGCAAGGGGAGCAATGGCCTATAGAAGCCCCCGTGTAGTTGGAAGCATTCTATGTCTGCCATCGACCGGAACAGGCACCCAGAAAGGTAAGCGCCCCAAAACAAACCCCTATTCTGGTTAAAATTGCTACCTAAAACCGAACTAGTGGATAGAACTCCCCAACCGAAAACAAGCAAACTAGTGTGACGTCACACACTGCCGCGCCGCTGTCTGCGCAGCTCCCCCCTCCCCGGGAGGGGGAAGGGGGAGCCCCAGACCCCCCGCGCCGGCTACCCACACCTCAGTTCTTGAGGCTGATGCTATAGGCGATGGTCGTGTGCTCTGGCTCCGGTGTCGCTACTGCACTGTGCTTTGCGTGTGGTGTTAGTTTTGTGGGTGCGAGAGCCAGGAGTTATCTTCAGTACTCGGGCTGCATGCGCCTAGGGCTGCCTTCCCTAGGTGCCCTGTAAGTACTGCCCTTGGGGCTTGGGGCCACCTTCCACAGGCTCCTCGGGGTCTGCCTCTGCTGGTCCGTTTTACCTTTCGGTTTTTCGGCCGCCTGTTGGGCTCTTGGGTGTTCTGTTCTCCCTTGTTACCGGCAGGTAAGAGGCAGTTTGCACTGGTAGGGGCGCAGGGTGCTGCTCAGCTTGTATTTCCCGACATCGCGGCCGGCTCTGTTCCTTGGGGTTCGCTGTCCTCTTGCGGGGTTTTGTTTTTGTTTTTGTTTTTGCCTGGTGGGGGGTTCTGTCATTTTATTCAGTTTGTTTTTGCCCTTCCACTGTTCTCCTCGGTGGCGCCCCCTGCTAGGTCCCCGTGAGTGTACACGTCCCTGGGGTTCAGCTTTAGAAGTTTTCTGCTCTTTTGGTCGTGGTGATAGTTTTGTTCGTTTGCAGCCGTCTCCTTCTTTTCTGGCGAAGAATGAGACTGCTGCGTTCCGGAGGGGTCCATGGGTGGTTGATGCTTGGTTGGTCAGGCCGGGGGTGCATCATGTTTTGTGTCCGGTTGCGGCGCTTCGCCGTTATTTGCGCGCCACAGCTTCTGTGTCCGGGGACGCGCTGTGGGTTGATCCGGTTTCCCTTCCCTGTTTGCGGGTTCGGGTCTCTCAGGTCGTCCGCAGGGTTATTAGGTCCAGCCAGCCTGCAGTCTATCCCCGTGCCCATGACGTTCGTAAGTTCGCGGCTCTTGCTGCCGTCTTTGGGAATATGTCTTGGTCTGATATTCGGGCGCGGGGATTTTGGCGGTCGAACAGGGTCCTGGCTGCTCGTTACCTTGTGAATGTCCCTGGGCCTCGTCGGGCCTGTGTTGCTTTGGGTCGGCGGTTGCAGCCAGTTGTCTCGGCTTCGAGTTGAGGGGTGAGCGACGACCGCCTCCCGGGTAAGTCCCTCTTTTTCTGTCTGTGGGTAGTTAGCTCCGGGGAGCCGACGGGGCTCCCCCCAGAAAACCAGCGTTGAATGTAATGAAACGCCATTTTCTGGGTGAGTCCCGGAGGCTCCCCGGCATCCCTCCCTCCCTCCGGTCGGCGTTTTTTCGCGTTTTTGACATCCAGCCTCAAGAACTGAGGTGTGGGTAGCCGGCGCGGGGGGTCTGGGGCTCCCCCTTCCCCCTCCCGGGAAGGGGGGAGCTGCGCAGACAGCGGCGCGGCAGTGTGTGACGTCACACTAGTTTGCTTGTTTTCGGTTGGGGAGTTCTATCCACTAGTTCGGTTTTAGGTAGCAATTTTAACCAGAATAGGGGTTTGTTTTGGGGCGCTTACCTTTCTGGGTGCCTGTTCCGGTCGATGGCAGACATAGAATGCTTCCAACTACACGGGGGCTTCTATAGGCCATTGCTCCCCTTGCCTCTCTGAGGGGGCCCGGTTCTGGCCGTGGTCCCCGGTAGGCCTAAGAACTCCATACACATGACTGATGCCAAAGTCTGACATTAGCATATCAACCTGGGATAGCTCCGGGGAGCCTCCGGGACTCACCCAGAAAATGGCGTTTCATTACATTCAACGCTGGTTTGTTCATCACTGAAAAATTTCTTGGTAATTTCCTGCTCTTTTTGGATTATTGTCTAGTCACACACTTTGCCACTACATAGTGTAAACTAATGCTTCTGTAATTCTTTTACTTGCTATATCCTCTTTTATGTCTATACAAAAGTACAGTCACTTTTTCAATTGCTTTACATGTTACTTCTATTCCATGCCTTAGGGGAAATTCTCTACACCTTTTCCATTCCTTTTTATTTACAACATCTAATAATTTCTACATATATCAATATGGAGCATTCCTATATTTCAGCTTCATTGATGTTCTCGCTTCTTCCACGGAAATATCAGCAGACTTCTCACACCATCAGATCCAATCATGTTCACAGTAAAACTTCTACCATCACTTCGTCAGCCATTGCTAGCATCTCTTTCCACTTTTATCCAACAAATATTGTAATTAAATTGTGATATTTTTTTTTTATAAATACTGTACTGTATAGAGTTTATTTGAATTTTTTGTCTGGTTTATTTACATTTATGAGTCAAGTACAAGTTAAAAATTAATATGATTCTTTAAATTTTTTTTTTAGGTCGGTTTCATATCTTGGGTGGAAGATTTGTACCACCACAACTAAGTGAGAAGTATCAACTGAACCTTCCTGAATACCCTGGCACCAGTCAAACTGTGGTATTGGCATCCAAGACATAGAAACTATTGCCCAGTTATATTGTTGATACAAGGGTTTCCTCTTTCTAGAAAATGGTTGGCAACAGTTTATGGGCATCAGTCCACCCAATATGAGCTATTAAAATAATCTACTATAACTAAGTAATCTACTGTACTACTATAAAAATAATGGAAGCCACTAAACATAAATGTTATGTTGCTTGCAATTAATAAGATATAATTTATTTGAATATTCTTTTAACTCCTGAAGGATTAATATCTATACATTTATATACAATAATGTATATTACAACCTTTTCAAGTGTTAAAAGCCATGTTTATTCATTAAATATTTATACACATTAACATTGTTTAATTTTTCAAGCATCATTCTCTTAGAAATGTGTATTTTATATACTAGTTGTTCAACCCCCCCCCCTCAATGAGTGGTTCCTTGCTGTGGTGAGGAGGCATTTGTGAACTTCCTGCAGGTGGATGGGGGTGGTTCTTGCTCCCTTCACCTGCCTTCTGTGGTGCACAAGCAAAATCCCATTACCTTATGTTCACTGTGCATGGAGACCCATGCATTCCCTTATGTTCCTTCATGTAAATGTTGAACCTACCAAGCAGAACAGCCAGTTTTTGACATGAAAACTTCACATGTCGAGTTTCCACTTGCCCACAGGAAGGTATGCTGTGGCAGAGGTACATGCTGCAAAATAAATAAATATATAATTTACACGCATACACACAGTATATACATGACTAGGAACTACCTGTATATATATGTGCCATTCAGGGTTCGAACGTGCATAGCCACTGGCATGCACAACACTAATACCATTTCATCTTAAAGAAAGCAGGACACTAGTAGCTCATCATTTGAACCAAGTTCAAGTTCAAGTATGTTTATTGAGATAAGCAATAAATACATCTCAAAGGGATAGAGTAGCTTAGGCTATTTCTACCCCCCTCTACTTCAAGTCCCTCAAGGGGCGCACAAATTCATTTGCGCATTTGAACCATCCATGAATCATGCTAAAATATGATTATGCAATACTCTATAGAAGAATGAAGTTCTGGTTGCAGAACACCTTCTTGACAATAATAAAAAACATTATTCAACTGGAAATATGAAGTGGAGGGACTGCATTCCAATAATTATGCTTCATGCGTGATAATTATTCTTTTTCGTGATATACACACACACATTATATATATATATATATATATATATATATATATATATATATATATATATATATATATATATATATATATATATATATATATATATGTCGTACCTAATAGCCAGAACGCACTTCTGAGCCTACTATGCAAGGCCCGATTTGCCTAATAAGCCAAGTTTTTCTGAATTAATATATTTTCTCTAATTTTTTTCTTATGAAATGATAAAGCTACCCATTTCATTAGGTATGAGGTCAATTTTTTTTTATTGGAGTTAAAATTAACATAGATATATGACCGAACCTAACCAACCCTACCTAACCTATCCTAACCTATCTTTATAGGTTAGGTTGGGTTAGGTAGCCGAAAAAGTTAGGTTAGGTTAGGTTAGGTAGGTTAGGTAGCCAAAAATCAATTAATTCATGAAAACTTGGCTTATTAGGCAAATCGGGCTTTGCATAGTAGGCTCAGAAGTGCATTCTGGCTACTAGGTACGACATATATATATATATATATATATATAAATATATATAATATATATAATATATATATATAATATATATATCTCTGTTCACTTGAGAATGAACCATGGAGGTTCGAAACGTCGTGCAAATTATACAAATAATATATATATATATATATAATATATATATGCAGAATAACCACATATGAAAAATAGAAAATGCTTAACGCGTTTTCGGCTAATTCGCCTTCATCAGAGCAAAGTAGAATGGATTCTACTTTGCTCTGATGAAGGCGAATTAGCCGAAAACGCGTTAAGCATTTTCTATTTTTCATATGTGGTTATTCTGCATACTTGGATCAGTGTTTTTGTGATCATTGTTGCATAATATATATATATATATATATATATATATATATATATATATATATATATAATATATATATATAATATATATATATATATATATATATATATATATATATATATATATATATATATATATATATATATATATATATATATATATATATATATATATATATATATATATATATATATATATATATATATATATATATATATATATATATATATATATATATATATAATTGTGTGTGTGTATGTGTGCAGAAATAATATTAATAAAACAATTAACATCGTGTAGTGTACTCTATATATCAAAATGTATTACTTTGAAACCCGTATCAGTCACTACCCGAAACGCTTTGCGTAATAGTGGCTTTAGGCACTGTATGTATGTCCTTTACCTGAATAAACATTTATTTATTTATTATTATTTACTAAAAAAATTGGGCTATACTCTTAGTACAAATTCGCTACTTTTTGACCGTCAGCTCGCTACTCTTAGCAATTTGGATGTGGCATCCGTGCGGGCCAGTGTGGCAACAGTGTTGGTGTTGACGGTGGCGTGGGCGACCGTGAGGCAGATGGTGGACGGCTCTCTCACTTCTCTCAACCGTAGCCGCCAAGATGCCGCCCGTAGAGCTACCTCCTAGTGAGGAGAAGAAGAATGTGGTGGGGTTCATTTATCCCCCGCCGGAGGTCAGAAGTATCCTTTTTTTCGGCCGTCATTTTGCGATGTGTTGTGTTGGATGGCGAGGCGTAGGCGTTTGGTGAGGGTGTGATTCTACACTGCACCAGACGATTTCTCAAAACTAGTTTTCTGTTGTAAAATTGTATATATTGTAAGAGTAGGATGTATTAGCTTAGGTTATGCTGTGTTAGGATGGGTTGCGTAAGGTTAGGCTGGGTAAGGTTAGGGTTGGATAAGGTTAGGATTGGATAAGGTTAGGGTTGGGTATGGTCAGGGATGGGTATAGTGTCTAGGTGTTTTTATGTACATTATTTAATAGGTAATCAAGAACATAATGGGTGAGGGTGTGACCTTAACATACCACATAGGTTACACTTTGTTTCTTTATCATTAATTCCGTACTCCCAGTTATATTTATTATTAAGGTACAATGGGTTTGTCAGATTACATAATATTAGTATTTTTACATTCTCGCAACATACTAGGATTTTTACATTCCTGCAAAGACACCAACTTTTCTCAATATTAATAGCTTTAAAGATCTGTACAGTAATTACAATATTAGGTACATTGTGATGAGAAATGCTTGCTTGTTATCTCTATCCTTAATTATATTAAAATACTGTACAATATCTCCAATACTGTTTTTAATATAGCCAATTTTAATACTGTTGCATATTGTACAATAACTATTTTTATAAGTTTTGTTTATATACTTTGTTTAATGTTTCATACTGGGCATTATTTTTTCCTTAACTCGAGCCAAAGATATTGTTGATAAGACTGCCAATTTTGTGGCACGTAATGGACCAGAGTTTGAAGCTCGGATCAGGCAGCATGAGCAGAACAATCCCAAATTTAATTTCCTGAACCCAGGAGACCCTTACCATGCTTATTATCAGCATAAAGTTAATGACTGTCGAAGTGGGAAACCAGGTGAGTTAATTATTAATTTTGCCTTGATTTAATAATACTTACGTTTTGTAATATCTGAGTATATAAAAGTTTATAATTTTATTACTAATTAAGCTATATATTACTTGCTACAGTATCACTGCTTCCTTGTCTTAATACTTTTAACACCCAAATTTTACCTTAGTGTTTCTTTGGCCATACAAGTTTTCATGGTGTATGGAACTGTAAGAATGCAGTAGTGTATTTAAATTTAAAGACCGAGATCTATTAAATTTACCCACAACCACTATTTAATTATTCTCAATACAATACTCTACAAGATCATAATTTTATTGTAACAAAGTTTTAGAAAAATTTATTTTATACAGTATACAACGTACAGTACATTAATACTTTCTAGATTGTATATATGTCTTATCTAATTCCCTCTGCGATCCAGAGGATCTCATACATGTGAGGATCAGGATACATGGATACAAACAGGATCCAGACCTATAGGTTCTGGATCCTGATTCCAGGATTCAGATTCCTTCAGTCTGCACAGGATGACTTTCTGCACTGGCATAGTAGGGCTCTCTTCAAGCACTCTTGCTGGGTTATAGATTATTGTTGCTGGGGAAGCTCAGACTAACCCAGATCTGATATAGTGCTCCCATTCCTATCACTCCACTTACTGTGGATCCTCAGCACTTACTTTTATTGTGGCTGCAGAAGTTGTGGAAGTTTTATTTTTTATTACTCCTAGAATTGTTGTTCACTATCTAGAGCTTTGCTCCATCATCATCATGAGAATGTGCCCTTTCTTCTTTCCCAGTAGGAGTCAGTAGCTCATATTTTGGAGCTGTTGTCCCCAATCAGTAACCAGAAGATGGATGGTGCTCTGGAAGGGTTTGGTAGATGGTTCCTTCTCTTCCCTGAATGAGGGGGGTTCTAGCCAGAGGTCAGAAGAATTCGCCAGGTTCTCATTTGAGCTTTCTTGGAAGTCAACTTCCAGACTGGATGGCATAGATGATTTCCCATTGTCAGGGATAGGAAGTTTGTGAGGTTTATTGATACCCCTAGGTAAACTACTGACCTTCCCCAAGATGCAACCCACAACAGGTGCCTAACTCCAAGTATAGTTGTATTGCCATGTGAAGAGGAATCAGGTGCAAGGGAATGTGCCCAAATATATCTATAGTGCTGGGGAAATCAAACCCAAGACCTCTCACTTGTGAAAAAAAAAAAAATAAAAAAAAAAAAAATTCTTAATTGGTTCTCATACACAGCATGCCTAACATGAATCATAGTCCTGGCTTTGCTGCTATTTTGTCTTTCCATTCTCAGTACTGTACATAGTAAAGTGCTATAATCTTCTCAGCAATCGTGATCTGACTTATCTATTTGCCTTTCTGCACTCTCCTTTTCTCTCTTGTTGCTATCTCTCTCTAATTTGGTTCTCTGCTTTATTTTTTGTATTATTTTCATTTACCCTCCTTCCCTTTTCTGCTTTCAGTTTTCCTTTCTTTTGGCAAGAAGTTTCCTTTGGATTAATATTATGCTTACATCTATTCACTTGCACCTCATCACCTCTATTGCCCCATAAATGTTTCTTCCCATTTTCTATTGGGTTTCAAGTTAATAAAGGTCTAGGAGGGATTGAAATGTTGTCCCATGAATTTTCATGTGTTTGTTGCATTATTTATTCTAATGTTAGTACTACTGTATTTGGAGGTCTCTGCAATTTAAAGTAGGGCTTGGCACATCTTTGAGTTTCTTAGCAAATTTTCTTAGGTCATTCTGGGATAGATTGAGCTTTTTACAGTGCTTATACAAGTAGCAATATAGTCCAGCAGAGATATCTGAAATGTTTCTTGCTTGCCCAGTGTAGAATGTATCCCTGCACTGACAAGCATGATCTTGTCCAGTTTGACATTAAATGATCTGGTCTTTGGGAGCATCTAAGTCCCTTGCTCAGTAAGTAACTCTTTACATTCACCTAATACCTAATATTTACTAATTTAGATTACCATTATAATTATTGTATAGGCTGTGATAAATTTATATAAAAGGCAGATTGCTATAACAAATATTTTTCCCTTAGGAGAGAAAGAACATCCTCTGTTAGTAGGTGGGCGTGCACCACAGCAGTCAGTGTCACAGGCACAGCAGCAGAAGCAGCAAGAGTTACTCCGATCTGCTGTTTTGGAAGCATCTGCACCTAAGGAACCACCTCCTGACTATGAATTTATTGCTGATCCGCCATCTATCTCTGCATTTGATTTGGATGTGGTAAGGAAGTTTACACAACTTCCCAGTTTTTACTCTGATGTGCATTTTAATTAATTGTTTTAATGGAGCAAACAAAAGTACTAGTATACATGTGACTCCATAATAGTGGAAGAAAATGTAAAAGAAGAGTTTTGATGTTAAGGAAGAATTAGGCATAAATCAGTATTACCCAACTTCATTAGTGCTAATGATTATATTTGTTTAATATTTGACTCTGTTGACTTAAGACATGTGGGTGGGGGTGCTAAACAGGGAGGTGGTAAAGATAGCCAGAAATAGTACAGAAATGAGTAAAATATAGCCAGAGTCTGGAGAGCAGCAGTTTGAAAAATGTCATAGCAGCAAAAACAAAGGATCAGCCAAAGCTGTTCTATGGACATGTACAGAGGAAAACAAGAGTTAGAGATCCTGTAGAGACTAAAAGACAAGAAAACGATGCAAAACCTCAATGATAGGTTCCAGATGAAATACAAAAACCAGTTAGGAGACCAATGTAGAGGATGGCAGTAGGGTAAAAACAAAGCTGGACAACAGGGCAGTTACTGAGTAAGAAGTAAAAATTATACCTGATAGAATTAGACACAAGAAAGACAATTGGATTATACAAGATATCAAGAGTGTTAAAGGTACTTTACATAAAGTATGTGACAGTGGTACTTTGTAGTCTGCTAACTAGGTTCTTCAGCAGATGAAACTAGTGCACTCTAGAAAGTTGAAAAAGTCACTTATCTTATCTTCAAGAAAGGAGATGGGCAGTCACCCTTAAACAACAGTTTCACAAACATACATACTATGCAAAGCAATTAAAATAATCAATTAATGATTGGTGGAGCACCTGGAAAGGATAAAATTTGTAACAAGACACAACATGGAGGGGGATTGTTGTCTGATAAACTTGTTCTAAAACGAGATGTAATTTAATTTAGATTTACTATGAAACAGCAGGAGGGAGTCTTTCCCAGACTGCCAAAATGAATTTGATATGGTTTCTTGGAAAATGCTAGTGTATATGATTGGATACCGGGAAGACACTGAACTGGCTATGTGAGTACCTTACAAACATGAAAGGGGGGGGGGGTTATAATTAGAGAAAAGATGTTGAATTTGAAAAATTTACAAGTATTTCTTTAGGGCTTGGCCCTAGGTATTATGGAATTCCTATTCATAATCTGAGTAGGTGAGTTTACACTTGTCAGTATTTTCAGATGATACAACACTGATAGAAGTACTGTACAAGCAGGGACAATTGTAGAATGCTTCAGAAATGCTGACAAAGTGTAGGGGTGGGTGGATAAAATGCTGCTAGATTTCAACCCCCCTAGCAAGTATTGTAAGGTAATGACCAAAAGGGAGCCCCACCATTAGAGGTAGGTAACTATAGGTACAGTATTTGATTTGGGAGTAGACATATCAGCAGTGCCACTAGAAGCATAGGTAAATTGGATGTCGTCAACAGCCCATAGGGAACTGGCAAACTTAAGTGTTATTTCAGACTCAAAGACTCATTCAAGACAATCTAAACAACCAATAAGAGCCTACTGTTGGAGTAAGAGGCACTGGTACAGAATCTGGTCCTAATGTACAACAAAATAAAGCTTAAAAGTATAGAAAGTTACAACAAGGCTATTACCAGAATTGAGAGGGGGTTTATCTGTAAGTACAAGTTTAACTCTTAACCCAAGAGGAGAGAAGAAAAACAGGGATATGGTTACTACATACCAAAGACAGCCTCTTTAAATTGAGTAGACATAAAAGAAAATTCTTATTCACTATTCAGGTGATTAACGAGTGGAATACACTGAAAGATGAGGTTGTCGAAGGCACTTCCATCCACAATTTTAAAAACAAATTGAGACAACTGAATATCGAGGAATGGGAAAAAAAAACAAGTGCACCAGGAACAAAAAGCTAGAAGGCAGAGCATATAGAGCTATAGTATGTTGTTCTCCCCTGGAGTCTGCTAGGTAGGAACCATTTCTTCCACTCCTCCACTTTCACCTTACTTCCCCCCCCCCCCCCTACCACTGTCCCATTCCTCAGCAGCCTGTTCATTACACTCCCCAGTATTGTGTATGTTATACCTGCCTTTAGATGCTCATTACAGCACCCTGTAAACTCCCCAGTACTATTACTTTCCCTGTACTTATTCCAGTATTTGATTCATATCTTGCAATTTGCTGTTCAGGTATACTTTCCTTGATTGCTTTCAAGCAATTGAATCATACTTTATTTTATTGTTATTAATTTTTATTATTATTGTCTTTGTTTTATTGCCATTTTCAATGTATTTTATTATTTACAGGTGCGGTTAACGGCCCAGTTTGTAGCACGTAATGGTCGACAGTTCTTGACAACCTTAATGAATCGTGAGCAGCGAAATAACCAGTTTGATTTTCTGCGTCCTCAGCACTCTCTTTTCCAGTACTTTACACGACTGTTGGAGCAGTATACTAAGGTCCTTATCCCACCTAAGGATCTGATGAAACGGCTTACTGAAGAAGCCCAGAGTGCTCAGGCTGTTATGAAGCAGGTAACTTCAGTCCATATTGTTCTCTTGTCGTCAAAACATGACAAATATAAACTCTGACGAATATAGGAGCAGACAAATGTAGAGGTTCCACTGTTCTGTATTTGGATACCTCTTTAAAACATTTGTTTGCATATGAAAAAAATAGTGTAAACCTCGGAATGCAACCAACATTTTAGTTTTGTCAAGAATGTGAGAACAAATAACGGGCTGACAGTTCAAGTTATGTCAGGTAAAAAATTAAAGGTTGTCAATTTTGTTGGTCACTGTTTGTAGTGAGAGAATTGATGTTTATCCGGGTTTCACACGGATTTCATATGTCTTTTTCAAAAGGTTTGTCCAAGTTTCACATCTAAATCAAAAGGTCTATATAGATTTTACATCTAAATCAAAAGGTTTATAGGATCTGACAGCCACAAGGAAACAGGTGGCTATGAAGGGTATCAGTACACCCATTACTAAACCCCAGAATGCTCTCCATCCTCAGAGCATCACAAAGGAGTCAAAGATCCTTGCACTATCTGGAGCCAGAGGCCCTCCATAGGAGATCACCATCTATGGAACGAACACCTGAATCTACCATGAAAGTAACCCTGTCAGGGCAAGGGTAGCACCAATGAGTGCCAATGGTAGGGTAGCCCTAAGCACATGCAGCTTGAGGTGAACAGTTTTCACAGGCCACACAAATAAGGCTTGTAAATACACACAGAACAAATACTAAAGAATGAAACAATACTCAAGCAAATGAGCTCCCACAGGACAGCATCCAGAAGATGGCACACACTTGCCTAGAAAAATCTGGGGCCCGAGGAGCTGGCAACTCATAAGAGTAGTCAGACTTGCCTGACATCAGGCGATAGCCTGAAGGTTGTTGATGGGGAAGAGCTGGCAGCTCCTGTGGCACTGCCACGTGGTGGTGGTCAGCTGTCACTATAGGTGAATGACATAACTATTGGGTAGATCATTTGCAGTCATTTGCTGCATTTGTTTGATTACTTTGTGAACCATATAGTGATCTGTTTTGCTTTGCTTTCTCTCTCTTCTGTTTTGCTTTGCTTTCTCTCTAGTGGTTTGATTCTGTGGTGAGAGTGAACATGAATGCCTTCTTCCTGCTCCTCTGTGAGGGGCCAGCTCTTGGACTCTGGTCCACAGTATGCTTTTCAGGACTCGCAAAGGCTGGTGTGACATAGGTGTAAAGCTGCCTCAAAGTATCTAGCTACAGCGTAACACCGTTCGTCCCCTCTACAAAGAGGTGTTTCAATATATATTCAATGCTGGCTTTATATAAATTTTTCAAAATGGCAGAAAGTCTTGTGTGTTCATCAGAGGTAAAAATATTTAAGTTTGAAAATTTTTGGGATCAGACATTACGTGTGACAATGACAATGACCTTTAATTTTGACTGATCGGAAATACAGTGGAACGTCAAATAACGAATTTAATCCGTTCCGGTACCGAGCTCGTTATGTGAAACGCTTGTCTTTTAAAACGAATTTCCCCAGTTAAAATAATGGAAATCAAATTAATCTGTTCTACCACCGAAAAACATCAATATAATATTCGATGTTTTAAATAATGGAGTAGCCTACCTTACATACACTGAACAAACCTTTATGACATTTGTCTTCAAGTTTGCTCAATTTTTGTTTTTAATTTTTTTATAGCAAAAGTTTGTTCGGTGTTTGTCAGGTAGGCTGCTCCATTATGACAATCTTTTTGTTTCAAAAGTGTTCCATTTGTTTTGTATTTTTCATTTATTTCTCAATAATGGAGCAGCCTATCCAACAAACACTGAACAAATCTATATGACATTTGTCCATTTTTCAATTTTTTTTTTTTTTTTTTTTTTTTTTTTTTTTAAACATGGAGCAGCCTACCTGACAAACACTGAATAAACCTTTTTGACATTTGTTCTTTTTTAAAAAATTTCATTTCTTTTTTCTACAAAAAAAGTCAATGCTTTGCAACATCCCAGCATCATTAGCATCTTTAAAAAAAATAATTTATTTGCATTGTCGGAGGCGTCTGAGAATGTGTGAGCAGTAGCGCGACCCCACCATGTAGTGGGGGTGTTGTTATTCAAACGAGCGCTCACCAAACAAGACGAATTGTCGGCGATCGGTGCACTCGTTACCCAAATTGCTCGCCAATTGAAGCGCTCATTACGAGGTTCTACTGTATTTAAGTTTCAAGCCATTGCTTAAAGTTTATAGGCAATAAGCAAAGCACTGGAGGGAAGACAAACAATTCTGATAGATGATTATGTATGGAATTCTTCATAATTGAAGAAAATCTTTAACATGTTACAGTATGAGTAAATAAGCTTCACAATTTTTTTTAAGTGTAGCCTTTATTACATAGGCCGATCATTCCTTTCACATTTAATGCTAAATTTTGTCCTTCAGGTTAGCCAACGTGTGGATTGGGAGCGTCACCAGGCTGCTGTACGCAAGCGTGAAGAAGAAGATGCTGAAAGAGAGCGCCTGGAGTATGCTGCTATTGACTGGCACGACTTCACTGTTGTAGAAACTATTGATTATCAACCATGGGAAGTTGGTTCATTCCCTCCACCCACAACAGCTGCAGAAGTAGGTCGACGTGTTCTCTTACAGGAGCGAATAGAAGAAGGTGTTGCTCCTGATACTGACATGGTGCTAGGCAGTGATGATGAGGAAGAACCTGAGGAAGAGCAAGGTGCACCTGGTGATAGAGATGATACTCAGGTTCAAGACATGGATGAAGAGAGTAGTGAGGAGGAAGATTCTGATGATGAGCCACCAGTTCCACAACAGCAGCAGCAGCCACCACCACAGCAACCACCACCACCACAGCAGCAACACCCACCACCACTGCAACAACAACAGCAGCAGCAGCAGCAACAACAGCAGCACGAGATTAAACTACCACAGCCTCCCTTGCCTCGAGAACCGCCTCAGCCAGCTCCAGCACCCCCTGTAGGAGGGCAAGTAGTAGTAAAAGATTATAATCCTCGTCAACAGCCCCGCCCTGCCCCAGGTACAACAGGTGCCTCTGATCAGTATCTTGTGTCGCCCATTACTGGAGAGCGTATTGCACCCGATAAAGTAGGTCAGCATTTGCGTATTAATATGTTAGATCCACGTTGGCTTGAAGATCGTGATCGCCAGATCGCTGAACGATCCAATCAGGATACTGTATTTGCAACAGGTGATTCTATTCGTTCATCTTTGAAGCAACTGGCAGAACGCCGTACAGATATTTTTGGTGCAGGAGATGAAGAGACAATTATTGGAAAAAAGATTGGAGAAGAGGAAAAGCGTGAAGAAAAAGTTACATGGGATGGGCATACTGGTTCTATGGAGGCAGCAACACGTGCTGCACGGGCCAACATTTCTATAAATGAACAGATTCATCAGATTCATAAAGTCAAAGGTCTACTGCCAGATCAAGAAAAAGAGAAGATTGGTCCCCAGCCTAAATTACCAACATCTTCAGCCCCTCCTACGAGTGTAAGCCAGTCTCGCCCAGCTCCACCACCACCAAAGCCTCAGCAGCCCCCTGCAAAGCCACAGCCACCACCACCACCCCCTCCTCCCAAATCTATACCACAACCGGCACCAGCCCCACCTCCACCGAAGCCTACAGTAGTTAATCCATCTCAGTCTATGATGACTGTCAATATTGGTGGGCCGCTGCCGCCTCCAATGGCTCCCATGGTTCCCCCTGGAGGGGGAGTGATGGTAGTTCCCCGTCCACCAGTCATGATGGCTCCCCGGCCAGGTGGTTTTATGCCTGGTCCTCCTGCACCTCCTGTAGCTGGCTTTATGACATCACAGCCACAACCAGCACCACCCACTGGTCCCCAGCCTACTGTTCCTGGTCCTCCCCCAATGGGAGGTATGGGAGGTGGACCTGATAAAGATGATGATGAAGGTCCTGCAGCCAAAAGATCACGTACAGAAGAGACTCTAGTGCCTGAAATTGAATGGTCCCGTCGTTTTAATGGTCCTGTCAAGTTCCAGGTTTCAGTGCCAGTTGTAGCAGACAAACCAGAATGGCGATTAGCTGGTCAGGCCCTCACACTAACTCTTCCCTTGACCGATCCAGTCTCTGTAGTAAAAGCCAAAGTTCATGATGAGACAGGCTTGCCTCCTGGTAAACAGAAGTTGGCTCGAGATGGTCTTTTCTTTAAAGATTCTCAGTCACTTGCATATTACAATGTTGGTCATGGTACTGTAATACAATTACAACTCAAGGAACGTGGTGGCCGTAAGAAGTAAACGACTATCCTATCTAGTGGTTGCCTTTTGTTTTTATTTGACATGGATTGGTTAAAAAACATGCAAATATTAAACCATTTTTTTTTTTTTTTTAAATTTTGCCAAAGGAACCTCTTTATTTTGTGTTACAGCTTTCTGCTCTTTCAGTACACTCCCAGCATCATGAAACTGGATTCTGTGCAAGAAAATTTTTGGTTGCTTGCCGAGACATTCGTGCACCACTTTAAACCTCGTAATCAGGTGAGGTACAACTGTTGACATTAAGATACCGATATGTATTTTACAGTAGTACTGCACCTCCCCTCGGTAGTATCCTGATTTGCTCTAACTTAATACTATGTGAACACATCACAATGTGTGATATATCAATGAGGAAATTATTTGGAGCAATGCAGGGATTTGAACGAGCATTCTAGTGATTCCCAGATGCTTTCCTTAAGCCACTTGTCCACAATAGGTCCAGCCACTTTGACTGGACGGAAGAGCGATGGTCTCGCTTGATGCAGGTCGGAGTTCAAACCCCGACCGTCCAAGTGGTTGGGCACCATTCCCTACCCCCCATCCCATCTCAAATCCTTATCCTGATCCCTTCCCACTGCAATAAAGTCGTAATGGCTTGGCACTTTCCCCTGATAATTACATTAATTGTCCACAATAGGACAAAAGGTATTCAACCTGGAACTCTACTGAATTCACTAGAACAGTCTGGATGCCCCAGCTTGAGCCACAGCCAGGTTTTTCTGAGAGTCACTAGAATGCTGGTTCAAGTCCCCACATTGCTCTAAATGATTTTTCTCATAGATATATCACACTATTGTGGTTTGTGTGTTCTGAAAGAGGGACATATGGAGAACACCATTACCCACAAGCCAACGTGTAGGTAGGCTATTCGTAAATCCTGGTTGTGGTATAAAAGGGTACAGTTGGGGCCCTCCAGACTCTCCCAGTGTACTCGGTAGTTCCAGGTTGAATAGCTTTTGTCCCATTGTGGCAGAGTGGATTAAGGCAAGTGTCTGAGTCTCACTAGAACGCTGGTTCAAATCCCCCCCATTGCTCCTAATGATTTTTTCTTAAATGCCGTATATGATCATTTTAGACATTTAAAGAGGTATTAAAGAAACGTTTCTTCTGCTTACGAAGTTTGAAGTGCAGTGCATAGGTGGTAGAGCAAGTAGCCAAAGAAATGCTTTGAGGGTGAAATGTAGTCAATAATTTTGCCATGGAAGAAATGAATTGAAAAGGGGAGAGACTTAAAAGTGTGGATTTCATAAGGAGAATGTCCCGTATTCGCTGTTTATAACGTAAGAAAGACTTGCATTTTTAGCCATTTTTTAATTTTATTTATTTATTAAATATTTACTGCTGCCCATTGTGGCAGCATTAGGTCAGGCATTACCCTCTGACACAAAATTTAGAACAGTTGCAAGCTGTTTTAATTTTATCATGGAAACTTAAAACATAATCAGAATACACTTTTGTAATTAAAGAAAAGTACAGTAATTAGAGTATATATAAGTTATTATATCTACAGAAGTAATATTGTTGAGTGTGGCACCACCTTTTTGGCAGAAAAATTCAAATCTTAAAGCATTGTGTAAATGCCAAAATATTTAGTTTTCAATAAATTTTGGTGATTTGTTCATACAATGTGTAGTGTATAAGATTACAAAACTTGGGTTTCATAGTTTAAATTTATATTTTTTTCAATATTTTCTTTGTGAAATTTAATAAGAAGCCAGAGTTTCTAAACATAAAATATTATGTAGAACCTATTATAAAAACATTCAGTATGATTGTGTGGAATCATACACAGTTATCATGCTTAATTATCATACACAATTAATTATCATAATTAGTGGAAGCCATTGCCCATTATCTTAAGTTAATCTTAAATTTTTTTGGGAATGTTTACCGTTTGTCATTTGAACTGTGTTCGTGCGGTCTTGTCTAAAATTACATTGAAGTATATTAAGATAGCCATATAGCCAATGCAGTGACTTTAAATAGTGAAACATGATTCATGTTAGATAGTCTAAACAAGATTTTCCTCTGTAGATTCACAATATAAAAAAAAGGTGATAGTTATGGTATAAGAAATTACTTCTTAGTGTAATTGGGAAATGTTCAAATTTGATGTACTGTATATACAAATTTTTTCTTCAGGAACCTTATAATAACATGAAAATGTTTAATAAATAATACAATAAAGATTAAGAATATATGATTGCCATGATTATTATTGATTTCCTGTACTATTAATATTATATACTCCCCCTCAAGATGGAATCTTGAGAGGCCTTGCCTTTGGCCTTGTCGTTGTGAGAGGGCTTACATTTGACTCCCTGGGGTTAGTGGGGATTTGCCTTGGACCTCCTCTCTTGGTATTGTATATGCAAAATGAGACATATGTATATGTGGTATTTGGGTTGTCAGACCAGGTGCTAAAGGGAAGGGGGAAGGGTTTCCATCGTATATATGTAGGCCTCCTTGAACTGATCTTTGCTTGGCTCTCAGAGGACATGGGAGATGTTTAGCAGGGGGGGGGGGCCACTTGTGGGGGGTGTTAGCCTCAGTGGCTGCTGTGCTCTGCGCTGTCCATTCTGCAGGAGGCAGTGACCACCTCCTTGCTGACTGACTTCCAGGTCGTCTGGCTGGTTTGCCAAATACAGTATTCACATTTACACTGATGCATAACCACTGTGTGAGAGAGGATTTATTTCATATTGTGAGGAGAGAGACAGTTGTAAGAATATTAAGGGAACATAATCTACCCTCACAGCTATTTGGCGGCTGAAGGAGAGCCTCCCAAATTGGCGTCCTTGTTTGTGAAGTCCCTTTGTGACAGCTATGCACGGGACTTCAGGTACCACGAAAGCAGTAACTACAGGTGACCGGGCCATGTCCAATGCAGCTGTGTGTGAGTGAAGTTCTCAATCTGTGGTGAGAAGAGGCTTCAGTATGGGCTCCCAGCTTCATCTCACTCCTCACAATGGGTGAGACTTGGTGAGTGACCCCTCTGTACCTGCCAGTAAATGTACCCTGACACTGCCGGCAAGTGTACCCTGACACTGCCGGCAAGTGTACCCTGACACTGCCGGCAAGTGTACCCTGACACTGCCGGCAAGTGTACCCTGACACTGCCGGCAAGTGTACCCTGACACTGCCGGCAAGTGTACCCTGACACTGCCGGCAAGTGTACCCTGACACTGCCGGCAAGTGTACCCTGACACTGCCGGCAAGTGTACCCTGACACTGCCCCACACGTGTCGCCCATCCTTAGACAATGCTCGACTATTCTGTGGCCGACCCCAGAGATGTATTTCATAATTTTAATGTTCTCGGCATTTAATATAGGAATTTTCTCAACTATAAATATATTACCATATATTAGCATATTGGGGCTATTTAAGTGTAGATTAGGTTTGGTGCTTAAGTCTTGGGAATTATTTGTATTTGTTGAACCTGAGTGAAGCATTTACAGAGTTATGATTCAAACAGAAGTTGTCAGCAAAGATCTTTTCAAGAGATGAAAGCTGAATTAATGACCATTTGCCCTTTGTTGATGAGGACGGGCTGCACACGAGAAGTTGACTGCCAGCAACGTTAAGGTCAGAACCTTTGCCAAGAGTTCCGGTGTGATATGCTAATGAATGACCTTCAGTCATGACGCATCATTATTTTTTTGGCCAATATGTCATTATCTAATGTTGCTGATTTTTGTAATGATATTTTTATGTGATAAAGTTACTAGGAATATTGTCTGATGGAAGCCATAAAGAACAATTGCTCCAGGAAATGTGATATATGTAATTTGTATTTCATCCTTGATCCTAAACAGAGAATGGCTACCATTGGCCAAAGACATAATATCCAGACTTCAAAGAAAGTGCATACGTTCTGTAGAATTGATTAGTGTATGTATTAGTATAGTTATTGTAGGTGTTTCTGCATGCCTGCCACTCATGGTTGAACATGGGTGGGCATGGGTTGAGGTACCTGCAACATCCAGTTGAATTACAAGCCAAGTTTACGATGTCAGGATAACTCGAGGGTGCACTGAGGGGTGGGCAACATAAGTAGTGCAGGGACTGCAGAAAGCAGGAAGATGCATGATTCGTTTTAATCATTTGCTTGCACCCAGAGCTGAGGAACTCGCTCACAATGAGAGGCTGAGTGCACTCCAGCTACTCACCACTTTGCAGAATATGTCAGTCCTCTGGTAGGACGAGGGCACGCAGATGGAAGTTTGATAGACAGGTAAGTTGTAGAGACGTCAGGAAAACCTTGTTCTGTGCAAGAGTCACAGGTAAACGGAATGGGCTACAGATTAACACTACCATCTCAACTCCCCATTCAATATCACACAAGAACATCTTAGTCATCTTTAAAGAAATATTACACCTATAAATTTGCAAAACATTACTTATGTCCCTCTTGAAATCAAGAATAATGGCTTCTCATTATATAATTCACAATAAAATTCCGTTATAAGTTGTATTTTCCACATGCACTCTAGAAGGCACACATTAGGCAAACACACACAAAATCATAACACACACACACTTGCTTAAAACGATTAAGCAAACACATTACAAAAACCCTTCACATCAACAGTCATCACACAAAACGTTGTGTCGAACGTTGCAAAAGACTCTCTTCACGTCAGTGTCACTAAAACAGCTTGTACCGTATTTTATCGTAGAATTTTAAAACCTATTTAAAATTCAGAATTTTTTTTACCAATTTTATCATAGTTATTATATACCACTACCATAAATACATTTATAGTAAAAAGTAGACGAATAAAACAAAGAAATAATTAATGTATCCACTGTATACTGTATATATGTTAAATTATAACCTGTATTTAATGGAATATATAAGTTTGTAATACAATGCTGGTAATTCTGTTAATTTATTACAAGCCCTTTCCCATCTCTGCTCTTCCTGCTCACATACATCCTTTTCCCACATGCATACCCTTATCTTGAGGATATCTTGATTATTTCGGGGGCTTATTGTCTCCACGACCCGGTCCTTGACCAGGTCTCCTTTTTGTTACACATCCCCAGGAAGCAAGCAGCCCATAGCAGGTGTCTAACTCCCAGGTACCTATTTACTGCTAGGTGAACCAGGGAATCAGGGTGAAAGAAACTGCCCATTTGTTTCCGCCTCCGCCAGGGATCGAACCCAGAACCTTAGACTACAAATCTCGAGTGCTGTCCACTCAGCCATCAGGTCCTCTTCATCCGTCTCCTCTCCCTTCCCACACACATTACCCCGTCCATAATGCAAATCCGTTATCTGAACATAAGTTTTTGACAGTAAATTTCGGAATTCGCTATTAATCTAATGCAAAAGTCTATAGGCTCTGGGCCAAACATTTCACATCCACAAACTTCATGGAGAGGCAATGCGCTGTCCCCTCGTTTATGTGTGACTGGGTTGACTCTGACCCCCTTGTCACAATTCTATTAAATTGCCTTTAATCCTGTACAGTTTAAAGAGGCTAGCCTTAAACATCTGGGCTTCGTCTTTGGACAAACAGGTAAGCAGACAGACACATTTGATTTTGTTGATACAGATATCATAAACTTTCCTACAAGAAATAACTTTCATTTTGCATTTCAAAGAAAAATAAAATCATTGCTGCATGTTAATTCTTAGTTTGTTTACCAGTGTGTATTTGAACCTGTACTCACTTATCAGATCATAAGTGTTTACTTTATACTGCAGTTTAGTTGAACCTGTCCTCACACTTATTTTATCACCAATATCAATATGTGCTTTATAGTACAGTATCAGTATTCAATTGAACCTATTATCGGACTTGTTTGTTCACCAATGCTAAAGTGAACAAGTCCTCACACTTGCTTGATCATCAGTGTCAACTTTATAGTTCAGTTGAACCTGCTCTCACGCTTGTTTTATTATCAGTGCTTACTTTATACTACAGTTCAGTTGTAGATGATGTTATGCTTGTTTTGATCACCAGTGTTCACTTTATACTACAGTGTTCGGTTGAACCTGTCCTCACACTTTGATCAACAGTGTTCACTTGAACCCGTCTTCGCACTTAATCCATAGAATTTTGATGCTATGGATGCTCCTAGTGAGGAAAACCTTCAAATATATCACTTGTTAAAGTTGGTATTTGTGTATAAAAATGATTTAACATCACTGTATGATCTGAACCTGGAACCAAGTTCTATTCTGAGTTGTGGTAGTTATACCCCTTCTCAGTCGTTCTGAGGGGCTCCCACCTGGTGTTTCATATGATCAGTCATTTGACATATTAAATGACCAATGTGCGTGTGTGTATGACTAATCAATTGATGCAATGTATGACCAATCAACTGATGAAATGTATGACCAATCAACTGACGCAGTGTATGACCAATCAACAGATAGTGTATGATTAGTCAACTGACCTTCATGCATCTGTGAGTTGCTTCTCATTAGCTGTATTAACGACACGTAATTGACACTCACTGACATTCAGATTATGGTGCTAACTCTGGCACAAATAACAACAGTGTGGTAATGTCAGAGGTATGTGAGGGGAGAGGCGGGGCATTACTCCAGTGTCTGGTAGTAGTGATCCCTGCTCTCTCCTCTCAGTCATTTTCATCCCCTCACACAATGGACAGGCGTTCAACCACTCCCTGCCTCAAACTGGTTGCCGAAGATGTGAGAGATTTATGTGTATATTTAGGAAGTTCCAGCAATTTTGGATATTTTGAAAATTTTCTTTAAAAATTAGTTCACCCCAAATTAAAAAAATCCAAATCATGTCAGTTATAATGAAAAAATTGTCAGTCCATAAAAGATACACATAAGAGAGTTCGGTATGTTAGGCCCCAGAGAATATGTTTAAAGTTGTGTGGCTGAAGACAGACAACCCAACTCACTTATAAAAGTGATGATGATGTATCTTTTATTCTTATGTTAGCTCAGTGTTCATGGTTTACTTCTCCCCTCAGTTACCCTTACCATGTTGTTGTTGTTTTAGATTTAGCTACTCAGAACGAAGTGTCCATGTAGCATGGGCTATGGTGAGCCCGTCCCAACCCTTACCACCTGTCCTCTCACTAATATATCGCTGCCTGTCTCCTCACCTTCCTCCTGACCTTGCCCCTAACTGCCTGTCCCCTCACTGCCTTTTCCTAGGACAAAAACTACCCAGCAGCTGAGGAGAGATGATGTTACCATGCTTTCTTGCTGAACGAGTAACTCAATTCCAAAGATTGTTGGTGTTAGGAAGCTTCTGTTGCTGAAGGTGTAGACAAGGCATCAAAGTGATCCACCCTTTGCTTCCCTAGAGCTAGTGTAACCCACAGGATGGAGAACAATATGAAAGAGGCAATTGGGGACTCTGAATCTGTGGAATGGAATCTCATTTGCATAGAAAGTCAACTCTGTGGACTCATTTACCAATGGAACCCTTACTACTATGAAATGTTGTCCACTGTATACCAATGCATCCCAAATCCACTAGCAGACAGACCCAAATACCAAAACTGTCCACTTAAGGAGTCAAAAAATGGCTTGCTTGAGAGGTAGAATAAAACTGGCTCTCTTAATGAATTGAGGAGTCAATTCAAGAGAAGGAGGAGAAATTGAAGTCAAAAAATGCTCGCTTAGGAAGTTAAAAATGGCCTGCTTTAGGAATGAAATAAACAGCCTGCTTGAGGAGTGAAAAAAGAAATGGTCCACCTGAGGAGTAAATAAACAGCTCGCTTGACACGTCCAAAAAATCCCAATAAGCAGTAGATCCCCACAATGGGTGGAGCCCCACAAAGGGTAGATTCCCACACTTTAGCTCCATAAGGGGTAGATCCCTACAAAAGGTAGATCCCCCACAAGTGGTAGATCACTATTCAAGGGGTAGCCAATTTTAAACTGTTATCAGGAGTTTCATTCACAGCTCATTTTCAAATTCTTTAGATCATTAAATATGTCTTTGTTATATTGGGTGTTGATATGCTTGTGTGTCAATATGGGAGGTTAGTTTAGGTTAAGGTTGGACAAGGTTTAAGATGGGGGGTAAGGTAAGGTTAGGTTTAACTTTGGGTTAAGTTTGATTAGGTTAGATGAGATTAGGAAGGTTTTCATATCCTTGTGCAAACCGTTTTGTGTAGGAAGTGATGTGTATGTGTCCACAGTTCGGGGCACACCTGCAGGTGGTGGGCCGAGCGCCCCACTACCAGTTTACTGGCCCCATGGTCGACATCACCAACATCATTGCCCAACACCTCGGCTTCTGGTGAGTGTCGAGAGCAATCCTCTTTTGCAGTGATTAGTCAGTTGAACTTTTTTATCTTCTCGGGTGATGATACTGTGAGCACGTTTTTATTAAGCACATTATTGCTTCTCACCTGCCGTGTCTCGGCCAAAAACCTGCAGTAACTTTTAAGAAAACTATGTATGTACATTATGTAGCTACAATTCTGTCAGTTCAATTAAAAGTTTAAATAATTTTAATGCAGTCTAACCAAAAAAATTAGCACTTTTGGATACCCATATGATGCCCTTTGTCTTCCAATATTTCTATCCAACCACTTGGGCTAAACGGTAGAGCGACGGTCTCGCTTCATGCAGATGGGCGTTCAATCCCCTACCGTCCAAGTGGTTAGGGCACCATTCATTTTCCCCGTCCCATCCCAAATCCTTATCCTAACCCCTTCCCAGTGCTATATAGTCGTAATGGCTTGGCGCTTTCCCTTGATAATTCCTTCCTTCCTTCTGATTGCCATTCTGATACATCACTTTTGAGCTTGGCAAAAAAACTTTATAGTTTAATGATACAGGTCAGACTATTATCCCATGCTTGACTGTCCTCTCTATGGGTCTGGTTATGAGAGAAGAGCACAGACTTACTGACCAAGATGTCTTGTTGCAGCTATGAGTTTGTGACGCCCTCAGATCGGGGGTTCGGAGGGCAGCTGACCAATGGGTCCTGGAATGGTGTGATAGGAATGTTGAATAGATCCGTAAGTAGATAATACAGTACTTGTATTTACGATCCATTTTCGATATACAGATTCCTTTTTATATAAATATTGTAAAACCAAATAAGCATGCTGTCAAGAAGAGAGCAGTTAAATACGATCATTGAGAGTTGACACAAATAGAAAAATTGTGTATGCTGCATGTACCAGCCACGTACCACTTGGCTATTGGATCAGGAGCACGAATTGTAAAGTGACTTGGTTAATTCAAACTCCGTGACCTTGTGTAACGACCGAGTCCTCCACAAGAGCAAGGCCTCCAGTAGGCAGCTTATTGCTAATCCTAACTATTCTAGGAGGTGGCCATGTCTGGTGTGATATTATCAGTGAGTCAGCAGAGGTCACAAGCTGTGGAGTTCAGTGAGCCGCTCTACCTGGACGAGACGACCATTTGCTACAAGCTTCCTGCGCTTGCTCCGGACCTAGCTGGCTTCATCAAACCCTTCACTTACAAGGCAAGTGTGGATTTAAATGAAACAACTTTTTCCCTTCTGGCTAGATCTGTTACTTTGAGAAGTCTAAATCAATTCTTCGCGCTTCAAAATGTTTTCATGCAAATTAAAATTAATGCTCTGAAACAGATCATAGTGACATCTATATATAATGGTTCATGTAGGTGATGGCAGTTCTTCAGTATTAAAAATTTTTTCATAAAATTTATCTTCTACATTTTGCACGTCTCAAAATACGATCACATAACCACCTTCGCAGCGTTGTGCACAACTGTTCCCATGTTGACACTATCCCTGCCTCTTCCCTCAGTACTGTACTCAATTCTTTCCAGTGTGGCATCCCACCAACAACCTTCACAGGTACATACATACGAGGCTTCACCCAGGCAATGAATCTTACTGTTGTTGTCTAGTCACTCTCCTCACGGAATCCCATACTAATGTGCTGTATGATTACAGTTGTGGCTGCTAGTGTTGCTCACCTGCTTGGTGGTCTCCAGCGCCACGCACCTCATCCTTCACACCTATTCTTCTCCACCCCCTTATTCCAGGTGGGCCTTATCCATCTACTGTACGTTTTCCAGGTGGTTCTGTAATTTGATTATATATATATATATATATATATATATATATATATATATATATATATATATAATGTCGTACCTAGTAGCCAGAATGCACTTCTCAGCCTACTATGCAAGGCCCTATTTGCCTAATAAGCCAAATTTTCATGAATTAATTGTTTTTTGACTACCTAACCAACCTCACCTAACCTAACCTAGCTTTTTCGGCTACCTAACCTAACCTAACCTATAGAGATAGGTTAGGTTAGGTAGGGTTGGTTAGGTTCGGTCATATATCTGCGTTAATTTTAACTCCATTAAAAAAAATTGACCTCATACATAATGAAATGGGTAGCTTTATCATTTCCTAAGAAAAAAATTAGAGAAAATATATTAATTCAGGAAAGCTTGGCTTATTAGGCAAATCGGGCCTTGAATAGCAGGCCGAGTACGACGTTCTGGCTACTAGGTACAACATACATATATATATATATATATATATATATGTCGTACCTAATAGCCAGAACGCACTTCTCAGCCTACTATGCAAGGCCCGATTTGCCTAATAAGCCAAGTTTTCATGAATTAATATATTTTCTCTAATTTTTTGCTTATGAAATGATAAAGCTACCCATTTCATTATGTATGAGGTCAATTTTTTTTTATTGGAGTTAAAATTGACGTAGATATATGACCGAACCTAACCAACCCTACCTAACCTAACCTAACCTATCTTTATAGGTTAGGTTAGGTTAGGTAGCCGAAAAAGTTAGGTTAGGTTAGGTTAGGTAGGTTAGGTAGACGAAAAACAATTAATTCAGGAAAACTTGGCTTATTAGGCAAATCGGGCCTTGCATAGTAGGCTGAGAAGTGCGTTCTGGCTACTAGGTACGACATATATATATATATATATATATATATATATATATATATATATATATATATATATATATATATATATACTGTGTGTGTGTGTGTGTGTGTGTGTGTGTGTGTGTGTGTGTGTGTGTATATATATATATATATATATATATATATATATATATATATATATATATATATATATATATATATATATATTGGAAACCCACTTCGGCCAATCATTAGCCAGATACCCACACCCACGTACAGACTGGCGAAGCGACTCAACGGCCTGCTGACTCCTTATGTTCCTTGCGCCTTCAGCCTGAAGTCTCCAAAGGAATTTGTCGACTTACTGCGGGGCACACGGGCCACAGGGATAAGAGCCTCGTTGGACGTAGAATCGCTGTTTACCAACGTACCTGTGGACGAGACAATCGGAATGATAGCCGACAGAGTTTATCGTGATCCAGCCTGTACTCCTCTTGACATACCAGAAAATATTCTGAGGAAACTACTCCAAGCTTGTACTAAAGAGGCACCCTTCTTGAGCCCGGATGGGCACATGTATAAGCAAGTAGATGGGGTCGCCATGGGTTCTCCCCTAGGTGTCCTGTTTGCAAACTTCTATATGGGTACCATCGAGCAAAAAGTCTTAGTCGACATGAACTTGAAACCGGCCATATACTGCAGGTATGTTGACGACATTTTTACACAGGTACCTGAGGTCAGACATCTGCAGGAGCTGAAGGAGGCATTTGAGCAGAGTTCCGTGCTGCGTTTCACTTACGAGATGGAAAAGGATGGGAAGCTGCCCTTTCTAGATGTAACAGTCATGGAAAAGGGCGGAGGTTTCCACACTGCAGTCTACACTAAGGAAACAAACATAGGAATGTGCCTAAATGCCAACAGCGACTGCCCTGACAGGTACAAGAGGAGTGTTGTTAACGCATATGTCGACCGTGCTCTCAGCCACAGCTCAGAATGGAAGCAAGTCGACGAAGAACTCTGTAGGGTAAGGCAGGTCCTAGTCAATAACGGCTTCTCCAATGGTTTCGTCGAAGACATCATAAGAAGGAAAGTGAAAAGCCATGCAACCTCTGAAGAGACAACTAACACAACACCTATACCCCCTATTAGACTATTTTACAGGAACTTCTTTTCCACAGCTCATAAAACGGAGGAAAGGGTCCTGAAAGATATTGTTAATAGAAACGTTATCCCTACAGACAAAAATCAGAGGATACAACTGACGATTTACTATAAAACCAGAAAAACGGCCAGCCTACTCATGAGAAACTCTCCAGACACAAAACAGAACGCTTTAAAAGAGACTAACGTTGTCTATGCCTTCAAATGCCCACTTGGGGACTGTAAGCTCCAAAAAACCCAGTATATAGGCAAGACAACAACATCTCTTTCTAGGCGTTTAACGATGCATAAGCAACAGGGCTCCATTAAGGAACATATAATCTCTTCCCACAACCAAACCATCGCCAGAGAAATCCTAGTAAACAACACAGAAATCATCGATAGATACAGCGATAGCAGGCGGCTTGACGTTTGCGAGGCACTACACATCAAGAAGTCAACACCAGCAATCAACAGCCAATTATTGCACAACTATATTCTACCCACCTCAAGACTCCGCTCCAATATAGAAGCATCAAGAAATATGGACCAATAGGCTTTCTACAAACACTTCTATTCAATACCCATTGTTTGTGTTCTGTCTTGTGTTGATACTTTTAATACCCTATTAATATCCCCTCTTGTTCTGTCTTGTGTTAATGCCACATCACCCCTCCCACCTCACTCAAATGTAGATATAAAATCGGAGATGCGTAAGTTCTATTCAGTTGTGTATTTGTGAACTAAAGTCTTTGAAAATGTAATAAGTTTTACGAAACGCGCCCGTGTCGCGTCAGACTAGAAATAAAAATGAATTTTGGAGAATTAATTTTTGATTTACCTCCAACAGTGAATCGTAATGTACGAAAGATTGAGAAAATTCGTGTTAGAATTATTAATCTTACTTTTTCGGTCATATTTAATAATATATATATATATATATATATATATATATATATATATATATATATATATATATATATATATATATATATATATATATATATATATATATATATATATATATATATGTATATATATATGTATATATATATATATATATATATATATATATATATATATATATATATATATATATATATATATATATATGTATATATATATATTTGTATATATATATATATATATATATATATATATACATATATATATATATATATATATATATATATATATATATATATATATATATATATATATATATATATATATATATATAATGTATATATATATATGTATATATATATATATATATATATATATATATATATATATATATATATATATATATATATTTATTATATTATATTATATTATATTATATTTTGGTAGCAGTCTTTCCTGTAGACATATATTATTAAATATGACCGAAAAAGTATGATTAATAATTCTAACACGAATTTTCTCAATCTTTCGTACATTTCTTTTCACTGTTGGAGGTAAATCAAAAATCAATTCTCCAAAATTCATTTTTATTTCTAGTCTGACGCGACACGAGCGCGTTTCGTAAAACTTATTACATTTTCAAAGACTTTGGTTTACAAATACACAACTGAATAGAACTTACGCATCTCCGATTTTATATCTACATTTGAGTGAGGTGGATGGGGTGAGGTGGCATTAATAGGGTATTAATTTCATCAACACAAGACAGAACAAGAGGTGGTATTAATAGGGTATTAATTTCATCAACACAAGACAGAACACGAAACAATGGGTATTGAATAGAAGTGTTTGTAGAAAGCCTATTGGTCCATATTTCTTGATGCTTCTATATTGGAGCGGAGTCTTGAGGTGGGTAGAATATAGTTGTGCATTAATTGGCTGTTGATTGCTGGTGTTGACTTCTTGATGTGTAGTGCCTCGCAAACGTCAAGCCGCCTGCTATCGCTGTATCTATCGATGATTTCTGTGTTGTTTACTAGGATTTCTCTGGCGATGGTTTGGTTGTGGGAAGAGATTATATGTTGCTTAATGGAGCCCTGTTGCTTATGCATCGTTAAACGCCTAGAAAGAGATGTTGTTGTCTTGCCTATATACTGGGTTTTTTGGAGCTTACAGTCCCCAAGAGGGCATTTGAAGGCATAGACGACGTTAGTCTCTTTTAAAGCGTTCTGTTTTGTGTCTGGAGAGTTTCTCATGAGTAGGCTGGCCGTTTTTCTGGTTTTATAGTAAATCGTCAGTTGTATCCTCTGATTTTTGTCTGTAGGGATAACGTTTCTATTAACAATATCTTTCAGGACCCTTTCCTCCGTTTTATGAGCTGTGGAAAAGAAGTTCCTGTAAAATAGTCTAATAGGGGGTATAGGTGTTGTGTTAGTTGTCTCTTCAGAGGTTGCATGGCGTTTCACTTTCCTTCTTATGATGTCTTCGTTCCTATATATATAGTGAAAAGAGTATACACTTTTCAGTGTTTCCGTTCGATAGCCCGAAAGTGTTTATTAAAACACTTTCCCGCTTAGGTGACTATTGAACTCGTCAACTATTTTTCTCCTGATTACGCTGGCGTGCCGCACTCAAGAGTCAAAAGAACAAATATTTGTATAAAATCCATTTACTATCCGATCTACTTGGGGATAGTTTACAAATGTTTGCCATGAAATTTACGTTTTCTCTAATAGCCGAACAGCTTATTTAGGAGAACGGCGTGGCAGTGAATCATCGTGGTAAAACAATTGTATTATTGACGCGACGAGTATAATCGACGTAGTTTTTATATATGTTGCCGGTCGAACGCATCCTTATGTGACCTTTTATACTTATGTTCTTCTAGAACATTCTATTGCGAACACATTGGTACAAAAATTAAATACGTACATCGAAAAATAATGTCAGGACAGTGAATTGAATATACACTTTTCAATGCTGGTTTCGCCGATATGCCGCCGCGGGTAACACTTCGACCACTTCCCACACTGTTTTCGGTGGGCTGCGACATTGATTCTATATTTATATGCATATGTTCGTGTAGAGAATTTTATTGCGATTTCAGTGATATCAAAATTAACGATGTAGCACAACTGTGGGCTTCACAACCATGAAGAGAGTGGAAACATTTTCTTGCTGTTTGGCGCTCTCGGCTAGTGATCTCAATAGTTTTTTATTTGGTGTTGATATGCCTTATGCATAGGCGGCATTTTATAGGTATGTTCTTATAGACAATTCTATTGCGAACACAGTGATACCAAATTTACATACGTACGCCTACAATTAGTGTCACGACAGTCAAAAGAGTATACACTTTTCGGGCTTGCCGCGTAAGGGCTCGAAACGCCGAAAGCATCTAGGGTATGCTTTTTTTTCAATAGCCTGGCAGCATCAAAGTGGCACAGATCCAACTCCAACGCTGAAATAGATCCAACTCCAACACTTCTTCTTGATAGTAGGTGCAGTTTGCATGAAGGGTTTGTCCTCCCGATGACTGCAACTCCAACACTGAATGGATGTTTATTCAATGTCAGTTCGACAATGAATCTTTGTAATTTTAACGTCTCATCAATGGTGAATCGAAATAGAACGACGCTAACAATGAATGAACGTTTTCATGTACAAATCAACATCCAGGGAGCCGGTCGGCCGAGCCGACGGCACGCTGTACTTGTGATCCTGGGTTCGATCCCAGGCGCCGGCGAGAAACAATGGGCAGAGTTTCTTTCACCCTTTGCCCCTGATACCTAGCCTCTAACCTGGGTGTTAGTCAGGGCTGCTTCCTGGGGGTGGAGGCCTGGTCGAGGGTTTGGCCGCGGGGACACTAAAGCCCCGAAATCATCTCAAGATAACATTGAATTCGACGTAATTTCAACATCAGTGGAATGTTGTATAAATTCAAATTAGAACCATTGCCAACATTAAATCGATGTTTAAATTCAACAGTGGATTGACGTCAATGCCAAATCAAAATAGAACCAACACTTTATTCATGTTCAAATTGACATTCTACGCTAATTCTACGTAATTTCAACGTCGAATATATATAATTTGCATTATAATTTAATTACCCATCCTCTAAGAAGCCTGGCAGTGATACCAAACAGTTCCCACAGGCGACAGCACCCGTCATGGCGGCAGGTGTCAGGATGGTCCTGCAGTCTGGACAAGGCCTCCCTCTGGACCTTGTCTGTCCTTATGTCCCAGTGTGAGTATGCCTGCTATGTTATACTTCCTCAGTGTAATTAACTAAGCGTAATTACCTAAGTGTAGTTACAGGATGAGAGCCACGCTAGTGGTGTCCAGTCTTCCCAGCACTCTTTGTCATATGACGCTTTGAAATTACTGACGGTTTTGGCCTCCACCACCTTCTGGTTAGTTTGTTTTATTCTAATTCCACGCCTGACTAACCATCATGTGAGACTGGGATGATATGAACTCTTAGCTAGATCTTGACCTATACTCTGTAATCCATCATATAGAACATGGGAACAGCAAATTGACAGCAAATTGCTGTCTGTCACTTTAATACAGCTGGGTCGTAAATACACGACGGGTTTGCTTAACGGGTTCCGTAGCCGCGTCGTAAATAGCCGCGCGATGTAAAAAAAAAAATCATATGAAATCCAATTCCTATTCGATCGACTTGGGGTTAGTATGAAAATGTTTGCCATTAAATTTCCGTTTTCTCTAATAGGCACATGGCCTATTTGGGAGAACGGCATTGTATTGTAACTTAGTGGAGAGACTATTGAATTGTTGACAACAAGGGTAATCGCCCACTTCACACACTCTTGGTGTGGGCCGCGATCACGATTCTACATTTATATGCATATATCTGGGTAGGGAATTTTATTGTGAGTTCAGTGATATAAAATTTAAAGCTGTAGGACTAATGTGGAACTGACAACAAACAAAAAGAGTATGAACATTTTGTTGCTGTTTGGGCGTCACGGCGAGAGATCTACGTTATTTATTTCGTGGTGGGATAGCTAATGCTTTGGTGACACTTTTATACATATGATCTTGTAGAGAATTTTATTGCCAACACATTGATACGAAAATGAAATACGTAGCTCGATAATTGGTGTCAGGAGAGTGAAAAGATTACACACTTTTTGGCGTTTACGCTCATGAGCCCAAAACGCCGCGCGCACAGTGCACTATTTTTTTTTTCACGAGTGCCGGGCGCATTAAAGTGTTATTAAAAGAAAGGTGCCTGTGTAGGTATGTGTGGGTGCATGCGTATTTGTTCATAAGTTTGATTGTCTTTCGTGTAGAAATTAGCGGCTTTATCATGAAATCCATGATGTCAGTTGACCATAAAACATGTATTCATTGCACCACCACAGCAGCTGTTTACTGATGGCGCATTATACCGACAGCTGTACCGTGGAAGCCCGCAGAGGATGGAGTGCGAGTGATCACTGGTGTGTGGCTGGTGGCAGCGCTGATTGTTGGCACAGTGTACCGCTCCAACTTACAGGCCATGCTCACTATTCCCAAGCTGGCCCTCCCCTTCACCAACTTGGAGGAGCTGGTCCACTCCAACATCCCTACTGCCGTCAGCGACTCTAGCATGCTGCACTTTGCACTTTTGGCGAGTGTCATGGCATCCACTTAAAATCATTGGCTTTTGACCCTAAAAAATCTGCTATTCAGAAAAAACAGAAAATCGTACACAGTATTATCAGACATTTCAATTTTGTCACAGTATTATCCGATGTTTCAAGTTTGTCTGAGGATGTTGTAGGTTGTGGCTATTGCATTTTTACATTTTGCCCCGAAGTGAGAGTTTATAAAGTAGCGTCATTAATCCTGTGAGTGGACATGCTGTCATAGCAGTATGTTCACTCAGTATGCAGACACAGAAGAAAATAATATAGTTAGATCAACATTCACCTCGCCCCACTCTTCGGCACTCCCTAGGATTTAAGGACGTTAGGTGGATCATAGGGCGAGGTGAACCCACACATAAAAATTTGTTTCTACATATAAGCTTAGTATACATGTTTCTGTAATGCATTGTGTATTCCTGAAGATGTCACATTCCTGATGAAACGTCGAACAATAAAATGGAAAGATTAAGTGATTTAGTGTTCCTTCACCCCCCTCCCCCCCCCTAGATGGTAGAAGGTATTTATGTAGACTGGAAAATATCCATAAGAAAATTAACATTGGTCAAAATGCAATTGTTTAATTGAATTATACAAGTACAGTATATAAATATACATCAATAACTATAACTTCAGGATTTGAACCCAGGACACCATGGGTCAACAGCACTGGTACTCTGACCACTGCACCACAAGTGTCATCACGACGACACTTAGTCATGAGTTTGAGGCTCCGATGGTGCAAGCAAATGAAATGTAATTTCCACAATTATTGTAGTTTGCAGTTTATATGACTGGCACGTGGACCACCTAATACTTCTAAACAAGTGCCACCCCAGGAGAGTTTGAGTCCCAGTTGAATGCTAGTGGTGTGTCTCTAGGATCCTATCTTAAGTGAGTGTCCGTAGTCAGGTCAATCAGATCTACATCATCTGAGGGTCGATGTTGGCTGTAAAATCAGAAATGCTATGACTTAAGACCTAGCTCTTAACGGTCTTTGTCAAGAATTTCCAAATTTTTGTCAAATACTTTAAGAATTTGCCACATGTTACCTGTGGTATTCTTTGTGAAGTAACTCCATCAAAGATTCTGCTGGAAAACGCAAGTTTAACAAATACTGTTAATTACTCAATGTGCTCTAACGTATTCAAATATTTACTGAACTGTTACGAAGCCAAATAAAAATCAGTTAAATCTTATGCAGAATGCGGAGAGGAACAGCAGCCTGGGTCGCCTGAGTAAACAGATGGTTGTGTACCCATTGACCAGACAGTGGCAGGCCATCGTTCACACAGAGCAGGGCCTGATCGCCGGCGCCGGCTCCAGGATTGGCCTAAATTCACTCATGACTCAGAGCTTCTCAAAGGTGAGTAGAGTGAATGTGCAAACAAATAATGCTTACATTATTCATACAGTACATCAGTTCAAGTAATATCCCAAGTCACTGAAGGTTTGATAAATAACTAACACATTTTCCCGTTAGAAAATTACATTATTAAAGGAGTTACATATTTTTTCCATTATCCTGACGATACTAGTGGCTGTACAAGAATGTAACAACTCTTGTATATGTGTGTATATATATATATATATATATATATATATATATATAAAAAAAAAAAAAAATAGAATGCAGACAAAATTTATAGATTCAAATAATAAAGTATACAATTTACTGTAGTGTACAGGCAGACCTGGGTGCATCTTAGCACCTAGGCCTTTCTTCATTGTGATTAGTGGTCATTTCTTATGTCAGTATTATAACGGTAAATACAGACACAGGGACCAGGCCATGAGTTAGCCTAAAGGAACACAAAATATACATATTCTTAAAATCCTACCTAACTTCTGATGTGGCAAAAGGGAAGGGAGTGGTGCCCTAAGAAAAAAATGGGTTTAACTGATTTTTTTTAATTATTTTCTCTATCTAGACAAGTTCATCTACTGGTAGTAGTAGTGTGAGTGTGTAAGGTAGACATGAACATTATATGCAACAAGCACACCACAAATGTAAATTGGGTATCTTGAAAATCACTGGTTCCAGTACCTGAACCTTTTTTATGACACTAACCTATTCCCCACAGATAGGTGTGGTATCCTTAATAACCTAATTAAACTAATACTTGGCGGGCACACAACTCGTGTCTCATACCGTTTATATATGAATACATTTATTGTGCACCAAGACTTAAGGTGTACTATCACATTATATATTAATGGTGAGTTATCTTACATTCTGGTGAGAACAATCTCTTTGATACTTCTCTCACATCAAAATAAGTAAAGAAGACATTGAGCTTTTCTTAGATTTCTTGTTTTCGATTATAGTCACCTGATAATTTGTATACAAGAAATTTTCTATTCAGTTGCCCATTCATGTTTTTTTTTGTTACAGACCGGACGATGTTCGATGTACCTGATGTCACACGGGTTCCTGGGCCCCACCCCTCTCAGCTTGGCCTTTCCCAGGGGCTCTGCACTCAGGCCCAGAGTAGATGAAGTGTGAGTTAATCACCATCTATTTATTGTAATTAATGGGGATATTACACGTCACATTTCCCCTGTCCTGGAGGTGGCAGTAGAACCCACGCATTATATTCTCCCTCAAGTTGTTTTGAATTGTCGGTGTCCTAACATGCGTCGGTTCTATGGGTAGCACCAAAAGAATCATCTTTGCGCATGTCTAAATACTGTGCTTTGATCTTCATTTTAATAATAACCTCTTAAAGATCCAGTAGATAAGTAATGCAGATAGTTTTCACCGACTCCCCATTCTATTCTTCCAGTATCCGCAGGCTGAGGGAGTCTGGCCTGCTGGACCTCCTCACCACCACCAACAACAAGGCCAACGCCACGGAGTGCCTCAAGTTAAGAGCCTTCACGGTCACCTCTGCCGACCTGCGGCCTCTCAGCATCGGCGACTTCTACGGGGTATTCTCTGTCTATGTTGCAGGTTAGCTCTACAGTGTTCTCTGTGCTGGTGGTTCCCTCCATTGGAGACTTCTACAGGGTATTCCCTGTCTATGTTGCAGGTTAGCTCTACCGTGTTCTCTGTGCTGGTGGTTCCCTCCATGCTATGATTAGGTCTTCAGGGTGTTCTCTATGCTATAGGAAGACCTTTAAAGAACACACCAAAGTAGTTGTCACAACTGCAAGATAAATTACAGGTCAATAACCTTTCAAACTAATGCAAAGTTTCAAAATAAATGCAATACTAATGATGATCCTCTTTAAGACACTAGTGCTCTCTAGCGTGGAATATTGTTGCATAATAACAGCCCCATTCAAAGCTGGAAACATTGCTGACATGGACAATGTGCAAAGATCTTTTACTGCTAGAATCCACTCAACAAAATATCTAAATTATTAGGACCGATTAAAACCTTTATATCTGTTTTACCTAGAGAGCAGGTGAGTGAGATACATAATCTATACTTGGAAAATATTATGAGGGACTAGATCCAAATCTGCACATGGAAATAACATCACACAAGACCAGGAGGCATGGCAGGATGTGCAGAATAACTCCATTGAAAAGAAGAGGGGGGCCAATAGGCACGCTGAGAGAGAACTCTACTCAATTCAAGGGCATAAGACTTTTCAACATGCTCCTGCTACACACAAAGTGCATAACTGGCCGACCTTTCATGGTGTTCAAAAGAGAAATCGACAACCACCACCAGCTAGGAGGCTTAGTCTGAGACTGGGCCGTGGGGACACTGATCCTCGGAACCAAACACAAGGTTAGATTTACAGGGTATTCTCCTTATGCTGTAGGTTAGGTGTACAGGATATTCTCCTTTTGCTGTAGGTTATGTCTAAAGGATGTTTTCTCCATGCTGCAGATAAAGCCCACAGATTTTTTTTGCATCTCTCTCCCGGCCAGGTCTGGTGGTGGCCATTGTCCTCTTCATGCTGGAGCTGCTTCTCCCTCCCTTGCACACCCAGGCCAGCCCATGACCGTCTGTGGCCTCCAGTGACCCATCACCTTTACTGATCATCTAAGAGTTCTCCCTCAAATGCTTCTCTTTAAGTGCACAAGGAAATCACATCCAAGGAAATCCAAGTGCCTTGTAGCTGTGTTCTGGGACCTCTCAGTGCCCCGTGGCTGTTTTATAACTGCTAAATTCCCAGTGTGGTCGGGTCCCAGGGGACACTTTGTGGTAGTTGTATTAGATGTAAGCAATAAAGCAGCTAAAATATAATTTGGTGTTAATCATTGTTGAATATTTAACATGTCTGCCTTACGTGATGCGAGTTCTGTTCACATAATGAACAGAGCGAGACACTCACCACCGTACGCTCAACAATATCAGAACTTAAATGCTGTAATAATCGAACACAAGAAATATGTCATCGTAGGACTGTATTTTCTAATGCAGTGACTGGTAAGCCATACATGTTTAAGTACATTTTGAAAATCCAATAGATATCTGTCAGTTAAAAGAACCGTTACACAAGACATTGACTTATGAATGTCTCATCTGTGTTTGGTCCCATAAAGTCATCTTAAGACAGTGTCTTTATATGTATATAAATAAATTTCTCACGTGGAAAGGAAAATATGCTTTCACCCTCCTAAATTAACATGACTTTGACATTGCCTTGTAGGGTGTGATCGATTAGCTGAAATATTATAGGTTTGACACACCATCACCGCTACATCTGTCTAGTGTGCCTGGGAACGGAGATTTCCTGCTGAGGGATCCTACACGGGGGCATGTGGAATCCTTTCGGTCATGTTGGCAGTGACATAGGCGACAGAGGCCCAAACGGCGAGGCAGCGGTCCAGGGCGTTCGAGTCCTCCACGCTGACAGTGTCGCCATGAAAATGGTGGAACCAGTAGTATCTGGGATCGTCATTGTACAGTGAACCTGGTGGAGAGGAGACACACAGTAAACCTGGTGGAGAGGGGAGGGGGGGGGGGGACACGCACAGTAAACCTGGTGGAGAGGGGGGGGCACAGAAAACCTGGTGGAGAGGGGGGGGGGGGGGAACCACAGTAAACCTGGTGGAGAGGGGGGGACACACACAGTAAACCTGGTGGAGAGGGGGGACACACAGTAAACCTGGAGGAGAGGGGGGACACACAGTAAACCTGGTGGAGAGGGGGGGGACAGACACAGTAAACCTGGAGGAGAGGGGGGACACACACAGTAAACCTGGTGGAGAAGGGGGGGACACACACAGTAAACCTGGTGGAGAAGGGGGGACACAGTGAACCTGGTGGAGAGGGGGGGGACACAGTGAACCTGGTGGAGAGGGGGGGACACACAGTGAACCTGGTGGAGAGGGGGGGGACACAGTGAACCTGGAGGAGAGGGGGGGACACACAGTGAACCTGGTGGAGAGGGGGGGACACACAGTGAACCTGGTGGAGAGGGGGGGACACACAGTGAACCTGGTGGAGAGGGGGGGGGACACAGTAAACCTGGAGGAGAGGGGGGGGACACACAGTAAACCTGGAGGAGAGGGGGGGGGACACAGTGAACCTGGTGGAGAGGGGGGGAGGGACACGGGTATTGAGTAAGCAGTACCGCTGTGTATTCAATTCACATTTATTCACAAATATAAAAATGGCACAGTAAATATACATCCTATATCTAATTTTAACTAAAATCTATCTTGAGCTCTCCAAGACTTTTATAAAGGTGTATATGACTAAAGCAGGAAGAGAGGTGTTAAGACGACAGTACTCTTAACAGCAGCAACTGAAATCCCTCATCTAGGCTAATTTCTAGTGACAAAACTGAAGTGGATTTGCAATCCACTTCAATCCGATCGCAATAAAGTGGATTTGCACTGTGTGTGGTGCTCGACTCCCTTTGGGATGAATCTCACACACAGGTGTAAGTTGGCAGTTTCTCAACTGTTGCCACTTGCCCTGGTAAACAGCCTTACCCTTTGAAACCTATTGTGAGTAGTTCATCGTAACATCACACAATATCCTAAAAATATACACGTTAATGCAATATTTCTCGCATGCACGGTCAGGGAAATGGAAGATCGGACAGCTAGGAAGGGTTCTGGTACGTCATGTTAGGGTTAGGTCAGCACTGGTTGTGAAATATCCTGGCATATCATATTAAGGTCAGGTCAGTGCTTGTTAAGGAGGGTTCCTGGGAACGGGAGTGAGGGACAACGCTCATCTCACCTGTTGGGACTCCAGCTTTCTGCCACACCTCAATGTCCGGTCCACCGTCCATGGGGCTCATCACCTAAAACACACATATGAAATTAAAAATTGTTTTAACCTCATTTGATGTTGAAAACCAAATTACTAAATTAACACCGCTGTTCAAAACACATTCAGGTTTTCAACCATCATTTTTTTTAACTTATCATTACATACTAATCTCTCTCCACATTATGTAAAAAAAAAAAAAATACCAAAGCACAGAATAAAACAGTACATGGTACTGTGATACCAAAGCCTTTGCTCATTGTCTCTGATCCTTTCCTTTCCTCACCCCGTACTTTACCCTCCACAGACCCATTCTACTCTACCTTCCATCTTTCCCCCCCACCTCTGCTGTCCTCCTCTACTCCACACAACCCTGTCTCCCCTCTAACTTCCCCTTGTCTCACAGCTGTACGCTCACCTGTGTAGCGTTGATGGCCTGCAGGAGCTTCATCACCTCCTGGATGATGCAGGTGGCCTCCTGAGTGCCGTTGAATGCCAGACCAGATGGGGTGAATGTCCCGGCATCCGACTCCAATATTAGCTGGAAATTGGCACTGTCGTTGACGTGCTTGTCGTAGTAGGCCTGGGGAGGTTAATGCAAGCTGATAATAAATGTGGAGCGGCCAAGTGTAAAGTTGTCAAATGTGCTCCAGGAAACTGAACTCTGTTGTAATTGGTTGTGAGCCGATTACTCTACTGTATTGTGCTGCAAATCAGACATTATATCTTTTTATATATTTATCTTCACAATTCTACCGATTTCAGCAAAGCCCATGTAATGCAGACAGACGTCGAGGATACAACCTTGTGATACAATGTGCCATTGATCAAACCGAGGTATACAATAGCGTGAAGCAACATCTATGTTATTGAGGCACTCCACCCAAGGTCAAGACGTATGAGCCCCACACGTTACCACAGCTCTCAAGACATACAAGGAATAAAACCTAGGCATTGACTGATTTTACCTAGATTTGTGAAATGACCATCAAATACCCAAATGACCAGCAGGGACATTTTATATGAAAAATATATCAATAACATTTAAATTTCCAAATATTTAACTGAAAACATCATAATACCCAAAAATCTTAGCTTTGTGTCCCAAGTTTGTGTATTGTAGAAAATTTACCACATAAGTTTGTACTGGCTCCAGATGTAATACTTGCTATGTTTCATCAAACCTGAAGTTTTGACCATCGTTAACAGTTGACAGCTACTAAACATGCTTAAAAACACCACAAACATTCTATCCTCCATTATAAGACTCTACAACCCTACCACTTATATCCCCCACGATGGGTTTAGCATGATAATAAATTGGCTAACTTCAAACGTATTAAAGTGTTACAAGTGCACCGTACCAGTCCACCGTAGAGGCCCTGCTCCTCCCCGGTCCACAGGATGGTCCTAAGGGTCCGTCGAGGCCTCAGTCTAAGCTGCTTCAACACTACCCCTGCATTCCAGGAGATCATGGCGCCGCCTGCAACACAGCCTTCACAACTCACACTATTGTTATGGACGAAACAATGTACATTATTACCTCGTAACTTCATAAAGTTAAGAAGTACAGTATTGTTATTGTGTCCGAATTCTGTGACTAAATATGGGTGTTGAATTTATGTTTTTGGTGTCAAAATAGACAATTGGGTGTCTTCAGCGAGGGAAATATTACCGTGAACAAAACACACCATGCAATTTTGGAATTCTCAATTCTGTACACGCATTTCTGAGTCAGTTACAATGTTACTGCTCTAGCACCTGACTTATGCTAATTTTTATTATAATCAAGACACTGTAAACCATAATATATATGAATGGCACTGATCTTAAAAAGTCAGGTTCATATTTTTATCCAAAGTTGATGCAACCGTTTTTTTTTTCAAAAAGCTTCTTAAGAAATGTTAGTAATTATAAGCACCTCTCATGTGATTTTCATAGTAAAATTTGAAATATGTGGTGTGATTCCCTAAGAGTGTTTAGTTATAAATTTCAAGACGAGAGGGAGAGAACGGGAACCAAGAGGATAAGGTCAAGCGGGACGATGGGGTCAAGGAAGAGTAGAGAAAAGGTGGAAGAGACTATAGGAAGGGGACAAGAGGGAAGAGTCTCGGGCACCGTTTCAAAACAGTTGTTTGTTCGAGATTGGAGGGGAGGGGGTGAGGGAGGATGAAAAGACACACACACACACACACACACACACACAGAGTCAGAGAGAGAGAATCCTGGTCACCGGTGGGAACCTCTCCTAGTCTTTCAATAAACTTGAAAGTTAATTCGAGCCAACTATATTTATAAGCAAATTATATTTGCATTCTATTACATTAATATTATTTTTGGAGTGCATGTGTGGTGTCAGTTGTTTCAGATTTAGCTACTCAGAACGAAGTGTCCATGTAGCACGGGCTATGGTGAGCCCGTAATGGTGTCAGTGATGGACCCACCTCCGTCATCCATGGCTCCCTGGCCCACATCCCAGGAGTCCAGGTGTCCGGACACTATGACGGCCTCGTCCGGCCACTGGAGGCCTTGCAGCTCTGTTATCGTGTTCCTAGAGATGAAGTCTGGGTAGCTCTGAGCTCCCATGGACAAAAACACCTCTATCTTCTGACCTGTACAAGACCCAGAACATAAGCCACCCGTTTTATCTTATAAATTTTATATAGAATTTAAAAGTGTTCATTATAAAAATCCACGTGAAGACTGCTAATAAAATAGGCATCAGTTTGAACGACAAAAATTATTATCCATGTCAACAATGTCTTCCACCTATAACCTTGGTAGAAACCATACAAATCTGCGTTAGTGATGGTGTGCTGACCTCTGCTTTGCATTCTCTCCATCATGGCTGCGTCTTCAACGGTGATACAAGCCGTAGGGATGGTGTTGTTAGAGTCTCTATACTGCTGGTGGCCGGTGTGGGGGGAGTTCATGGAGAAGGGAGTCACGGAGCGTATGAGAGAAGCCACCGCACCAACTTCAGCTGCCCTGGAGGCTCCATCGGTCCTGTAGGCTACCGTCACTCCGTAAGATACCCAGTCTGGGTTGAACACCACTATCTTGCCGGCTGCCTGGGGAACAAATACTGTAGTTATTACGACCCAGAACCTCTATGTTGCCACCACCAGTGGTGCCAACTTCAGGTAAAATAACAATAATGGAAGATGATAAATTGAAATAAGAAATTCTCTCAAAGATGCAAAAGAGTGAATTTGTTGTCAGATTTTTCCATACGAATATATTGCATATTTCTTAGGACTTCGGAGGAGGCATGTTCATGGTTGGTAGGCATACTCATATGTATACATATACCCAATAGCCGGAACCGCTTAATTAAACCTTTTAAGGTCCATTTTTTTTATAACGCCCTGCATGACACTACACCCTGACACGTCTCGCAGAAACACTCACCTGGTCGGCATGTTTCTGCACGTCGTCGAAGTCCTTGACGACGAGGACCTCGGCCCTGATGCCTTCTGGAGGTGTAGCCACAGAGCTCCCCAACCCCAATATGCTCAGCTCCTGGAGGCGCGGCAGGGTCATCCACGCGGATTCCGTGTTCCTGTACCAGAACAAGAGTCTGAGCGCATGATACAAGATACTCTTCATCTTTTATCATGATACAAGATACTCTAACTATTGGCGTTGGGATGTGTCTTTGCTCACTGCTAGCTTCCACGCACCAGTGATCATCTGGTTTATACGCCGCGCTCACTTTTAAATGAACAACAAACACCTTGCTTCAGTTATTGTCAATTAAGTCATTATTTGTGCTCCGGGTATTAGCCATTCCTTTGGGTGACCTCACCTGACCCAGTCATCACCCTCGTGACCTCAACCTGACCCAGTCATCACCCTCGTGACCTCAACCTGACCCAGTCATCACCCTCGTGACCTCAACCTGACCCAGTCATCACCCTCATGACCTCAACCTGACCCAGTCATCACCCTCATGACCTTACCTGACCCAGTCATCACCCTCGTGACCTCAACCTCACCCAGTCATCACCCTCGTGACCTCAACCTGACCCAGTCATCACCCTCATGACCTCAACCTGACCCAGTCATCACCCTCATGACCTTACCTGACCCAGTGTGGCACAGCGACGTCCTCTGTGTGAGTGTTCTCCAGGCCTGCTGCTTCAGATTGTTCAATAATCCAGTCAATGGCTGCTTCCAGTTGTCCTGAACCGGTCTGTAAAGATTACCATAAGTTCAGTGATTCACAACTCGCAGCAGTTCCGTTATGCAGGCAGACTTGCATCATGTCAGTAGCAGAAAAGCTAAGTAACTACATGTACAGAAAGCTAAAGAAGAACCATCTGTCAACGTTCTCATGGAGAAGTTATACAATGTTGATGCGTAGTAGCACTAGATAAAAAGACCATCCAAATGCCGCTCAACAAAAACAAATTTATTCAAAATAAATTGGCTTATTTTTTTTATTTTAATTTTAACATATGATTGTGTTATTAAAATAATAGTACCGTACAGAAACTTTTGGGCCACCTTTCGGGTAAGCAGTCTGGTATATTGTTGGATAAAATATTGCTATCGTTGTTTACACATTGGTACAAGTAGTGTTTCAAAATTTAAACACAATGCTTAAAGCATTGAAGACACTTATGTCAGACAGTACTGGAGTATGCAGCGCTAGTATGGAATTGGAGTAGGAGAACAGATTAAGAACGGCGTAGAGAAGGACCATATAAGACGTGATTCTCAAGTGTAATATTTTAAGAGTTATAGACAAGGTGGACAAAACTTTATATGAAAAGAATAATTAAAACTAAGAATCATGCAAGTGGAAACTGGAAAAAGACTCTTGTTTTATAATGCTAATACATCCATTCATTAAAAATAAAAATAAGGAAAATTTTGCTTAAAACTTTCGTATGGTAACATTTATGTGTCAGACTTATTTAAGTCATTTACAATAATGAGTAGTTATAGATACAATTCCTATATTTTCTATAAATTATCATAGAAAATGAAAAATTATAGGCATAACTAGCTTAAACTGTACACAACCATAGGGTCCCAATTTAATTCACTGTGTCGAGGGACAGGAAGTCAGAGTGTATTCATACACGTTAGGCTTTTTCGAGCCCCCCCCCCTCCCAGGTCGAATTATTGACCCCGGCCAGGATACAAACCCACAAGCCGACCGGCTTTAGCAGTTCCCGTGGTGTAGTGGTCAAGACACTCACCTGGCGTTTCGCGAGCACTGTCCTGGGATCATATCCTGGCCGGGAAGGATTTACTGGGTGTCAATCCTTAACTGTAGCCTCTATTTACCCAACAGTTAAATGGGGTACCTGGTTGTTAAACGTACCTGGTTGTTAAACGTACCTGATTGTTAAACGTTAAATGTTAAACGGTTAAAAATCAGTCTCCGTGGTGTAGTGGTAAGACACTCGCCTGGCGTTCCGCGAACGCTATGTCATGGGTTCGTATCCTGGCCGGGGAGGATTTACTGGGCGCAATTCCTTAACTGTAGCCTCTGTTTAACGCAACAGTAAAATGTGTACTTGGATGAAAAAACGATTCTTCGCGGCAGGGGATCGTATTCCAAGGACCATAGGATTAAGGACTTGCCCGAAACGCTACGCGTACTAGTGGCTGTACAAGAATGTAACAACTCTTGTATATACAAATAAAAAATATAACTCTTACTTGCTGCTAGGTGAACAGAGGCGTTAGGTGAAAGGACATGTGCCCAAAAGTTTGATTCACATTGTAGTGAGGTATTGATATTGGCACTAACACTTTATCAACCATTGAGCAAGTCACTAATTACGAGCTCACTATAGCCCGTGCTACATGGAAATTTTGTTATTAGTACCTGAAAATTAAACAAGTAGTAGTCACTCGGCAATATTCTCGTGTGAAGGTGTTGTCAATAGCTTTCATTGTTATTCTTTTGGTTCTTCATCTGACCATGTTACTAGCTAGGTATAATCTGAACAGGTTTTAGAATGCCCTTTGAATGAATCCTTGTCCTTTACCTGTGCAGTTTACCTGTATCTCAGTCTTACAGAGTCACAGGTGATTGTTTTATAGTCAACTCTACAGGTGGGGGTATGTGCACGTCTGTTTAAGTCACTTCTACAGGAGTCTAACTGACCATCCGAGGACCGTAGGTATCGACCAACTCGGCCAAAGTGGCGTAGGCCCGACCCTTGTAGTCTCCATTGACTACATAGTCGATGATTTTGTCGACGTCCTCCTTGTAGCCCTGGATCTCCGCCACCAGCGCCGGCGGCAGGTTGCATGCTGCGGGCGATGCCGTCGTCTCCTCCCGCAGCACGGAGTCCGTCGCCGGCGTGTGTTCAGACTCAATCACTGACCCTTTGGTGTTGTTATTGCCCTGAACACGAACGGTGAACAAAGCTTGGGTGTTGAGGACGCAGATCAATGCCGCCAGCAAGGATGGGTACAGCATTACCCGCGCCATGTCTATGGTGGTCACTGAGAGCGTACACAACGGACACTATTGTTCCACACCTCCACACTATTGTTGGCCCAAGATAAGGTAACCTTCAGCTTACCAAGGGCATCATTCTTACCTAATCTTTTATCAACACATTATCATTATCACCACCAACCTTTTGACCTTCACTATCATATCTTGCCGATTTCACTTCAGTGTGTACTTCTTATTTGTCTTTTCGTCGACTTCTGCTAGTCTGAAGCAGCAGCGAGACATACGTCCGTAGTCTGACTAATAAAAATACGCAGATTATGTCAATTTTAAACTAAGGTCCCTAATGAAAATTAATTAAAGTTCACCCGCTGTTCGCACAGCTTGATGTTATAATCTCTTGATGAGGAAACTTGTTTCTATTTCTTGTCTCGCCTGTCTTCCGAGCTGTCACTCGCCTGTTTTCCCAGCTATCACCCACCGGTCTCCCCAGCTTCCCCAGCTGTCACCCACCTTTCTCCCCAGCAGTCATCATCATATAAGCAGTAATTATTCATATGAACAAAAGTTTATTGGGCACTTCATACTCATTCTGTGCCTGGAAGTTGGTGTATCGAGGCAGCAGGCGTTCCTTTAAGCATATTTGGTCGAAAATGTCCGCATTGCTTGCGCTGTTAATTTTGCTGTTCAGGCATTCGATACATCTGACAAATCTTTGCATCAGCGTTGATTTGGGTGATTAGGGTACCGAAATTGAGGTCAGTCTGGGTTTTAGCATATAAACCACAACAATCCCACTGAAAGGTGGATTGAATGGACAATCAAATCCACATTTCAGACTTCATGGGCGTATTTGATTTTCTCAATACGAGCCAATCCTAATTAAATGCGGTCATATAGATCGAACCTCAACCACCCTATGACACTCTGAATGATGGAATTCATTATTTGCCACGTTAAAATGGCAATGTTTGATCCGCTGTGTCAAATGCCTTCCATAAGAGTAAACATCATGAGAGAAGTCGATTGTTTATTGTGGCCATGGATGGATCAAGCCCTGGCATCACCCCCAAGGTAATGAGACAGGGTCCTAGCTCTGGGTATTTCAACACAGCCTCACACACCGCGAGGCTTGGCAGCTACGGCACTCTACATGCAACACGAGGAATACCGGAATGTTATGATCCAGAATTTAACAAAAACACGGTCGTCCTGAATACCGTATTATTTGCGCAGGTGTGTGTTTTTTAAGGAACTGAGCACGTGAGATTAAGTCACTGTTCCACACGTATATCGGGTCACACACAGAAATCACAATAGCATGATGTATCAAATGAACAAAGCAAGTTCTCAAAATATAAGCCATCACCCATTGTCAGGACAACTGCACTTCCAGCTGCACCCGTGGGGTGGTGTAGGGAACCATCAGTGTATATGATTTGAGAGAGAATGCTCTGTGGACAGAGCATCAGTATGACTTAAGGCGTTGAGCTTTGCCTCAAGACGAAGTTTGGGCTGATCTCTAATTTGCTTCTTGGGCGGAAAGAGGGATTAAAATCTGGAAGGATGTAATCTCCCACGGTGCAGGAAAATGCCGTTGTTGTCTCTTTTTGGAACAAATTATAAATCTGATAGATTCTGAGTTCAATTCCAGTTTTAGTTATCCATTTGGAAGAATGTTGACCTTAAATAAAGAAATTCTGGAGGGCTTCTGTGCAAGAGTTAGGATGAGTTAGCCTAAACATTTTTATACCAATTTGACAATTTTAGTAACACGATTAACTACGCTCGGAAATATTAAGTTACTTTCTCATGTTAAGTATCTTTGTAGTACAAGGGCACCCAAAGGTTACCCTCAAGGCTTCGTTCTGCAATTTTTCAAGCCCTCCAAGCTTTCTTTCAGGCACCAAAGCAAGCAGAGGTGCAGCATAATCCACTAAAGATCTGATGTATACAAGGTCATTTTGTATAGGATGTAATCTCCCACGGTGACAATTCAATCCACGATTTTGACAATTCTGACATTGACACCATAGCCTGAGTGATAACCTGCAACAGCCTTGAGAGCTCAGAGCCTCTCTTTTTACTGACGACAGAGTCTGAATACCTGTGGCCACGATTAACTTTGCTCAGCCTCTGTCACTATGCAGGTAAAAGTGGCTTCATCTGTTATGTAAGAGACGCTTATAGGAAGCGTGTATCCATTACAGGTGTGTGACCGTGTACTCACACACATCCATACCAGTTTCCACTAATATATAAGCCTGTTTATTCATTATTGTAATGTGGGAGGAGTGACGTCACTCCACCTGCTCATAAACAATGCAGGTGTTCGCTACATACGTTAACCACTTGGGTGTGACAGGACTATCGCATCTGTAGTACACGTGAGGATAAGGTAAGCATCCGTGACACTGACTGTGTTGTCTGGAACTAAAATCAACAGGTCCTGGACGCTCGCGGAGTACAACTGCCAATTCATTATTCATTGTATTGCAAATGATGGCAAGGAGAGAGTGGCGGGAACCGAGACCTCAAATAGAGACCTAGTCGTGTGGTGTGGACTGTAGAGCCCCCTCTAGTGTAGAATAGGCACACAGGAAGCCTACTTGCCTACCGGGGGAGTGAGGTTTAGCTCTTTATGCCCCGACGAAAGAATAGTCATCAGAAAGAAATGCCGATCTCTGAAAAAATGGCCATCGACAAGAACAATATAGCCGCCCCTAGGAACAATATAGCCGCCCCTAGGAACAATATAGCCGCCCCTAGGAACAATATAGCCGCCCCTAGGAACAATATAGCCGCCCCCAAGAACAATAGCTGCCCACAAATAGAATAGAAGCCCTCAAAAAGAATAGAAGCCCTCAAAAAGAATAGAAGCCTTCAAATAGAAAAGAAGCCCTCTGAAACAAGTGGCCTGTTAGTTATAACCTGCAATTAGGTTGTGAACATGTTACTTTGCAAATTTCAAATAGGAGATGCAATTCTAGCAATCAGTATTGCAAGACGACGATCCGTCATGGCAATCTTGTCACCGTACCTTTGAGAGAAGACTTTTCAACCTCTGACACATCCTTCAGTAACTTACTTCAATATGGTTGAGTCAATGTCTCTAAACTCTGACGTGGAATGACTTCAGACTGATTATCATATATTTGAACCCAAACGGTCATTTCCAATTCTGAGTAGGCTTCCTAACTGACGCACGGCCGGGAAGTGCTTTACAAATACCGGGTACTCTAGCTTACAGTTCATCTATTATTCAACAGCTAAAATTCTGATGCGGCTGTGATTTAATCCACTGTGTGAAATTCTTGTATGTATGGAAATGGCCGTATTGCGTCAAGGGCCTGATGTGCGACGTACTGCCAAGAGCACTGAGTCAGTCACCATGATGTATGTGCGCTTCAGCCTACAGTTTAGACCTATTGTCTTATGTATGAACCTCTGTCCTGCGTGACAGTGAATACCAGCATTATCCTCACTTTAATAAGACTATCAAAATCCTCAGATTAGGCAAAATTGTAATCAATTGTCAATAAAGATGTTAATAATAATGTCAGTCCTTTCCTACCAGTTCTTACCTCTCGAGTGTCTACGGGGAGTGAGGTCTGACTATGATCCACATACTAGGAATCTGGAGTTAAGGTTGTGGATGAAAGTGACTTAGACAACTTTCAATGCGTTCCACTTGTTGGCCACTGTTACGAACCTGGTGTGTACCCGATTCCTATTATAATGTATAATTATACATTCGTCACAATTTATTTTACTATGTGAGGCATTTTACGTGATCCCCTGCTTGTGGATTGCTACAGTTCTAGACGCTAATTATAACCTGTTGGTCGGCTGCTGTGACCACAGAGTAACACAGTTTCTCTCTCTTCACACCACACCTCGGACCTTGCACCATCCAAGTTAATATTGGTGGTGTGAGCGTTTGTGAGTGAGTGAGTTCATCTAATTGTGCTTGTGGGGTTGTGCTTCTGCTCTTCGGTCCCGCCTCTTGACTGTCAATCAAGTGGTGTACAAGTTCCTGAGCCTATGGGCTCTATCTTATATGCGTTTGAAACTGTGCATATGCAGTCAGCATCCACCACATCACTTCTTAGTGCATTCCATTTGCTAATTAACTAATCTGACACTCAAAATTCCTTCTAGTGTGTCTGTGGCTCATTTTGATACTTAGTTTCCACACGTGTCCCACTGTGTGTGTACCACCCATGCTAAATATCTGTCTTTATCAAGTCCACTCAGAATTTTGTATGTGGTAATCATGTCTCCCGTAATTAGTTTGTCTTCCAGCAACTTGAGGTTCAATTCATTTAGCCTTTCCTCGTAACTCATGCCTCGTGGTACTGGGACTAGTCTGATAGCACACCTTTGAACCTTCTCCAATTTCGTCTTGTTTTGACTAGATAAGGACTCTACGCTGCAACAGCAAACTCCAGGATTGGTCTGACGTAATTTTGTAACATGTACACGCGTGTCTAATTGAGGAATGTCTGGTAGATATATTTCACTTCACATACTACTCGGTCTGGAGTCACTGTCATCTGGAATACCATGCATAACCTTTAATTCTTATAACCCAATCCTATGTTGCCATTCGTGTCACCAATCACAATTTCTTGATAGAATGACAAGCTCACTTTCCAGTCCTTCACAGAAATTCTGATTCTCATTTCAATCACATTACGCATAAGCCATCACACCATCCACTTTGTCCTCTTTAACTTGAATTTTATTCGCAGGCACCTAGAACCACACCCCAGGACCTCATAAATCATACCCTCTTGAATCATACCTTGAAGAGTTAGCCATTGCCTTACTATTCAAGATCCTTCAAGCGGTAACGTGCATATTCCTTCCATTCAGTTTCTCTCGGCCTAATAATCTACACAATATTCAACTTCTCCTTTGAACTTGGCCTCGCACAAAGCAGCAGTCAACCGATGCCAAGGATGAGAAAAGCTTCAGGAGTTTATTGGCCATTAAACAACGTGATCAACATCAATTCACGAAGCACTTCACAGTACAATAAAGAGGCAAACTCCCGGGAAAGTTCGATAAGAAAGACTCTAAAGTTCTAAGCATTACAACAGG